ACACACACACACACACACACACACACACACACACACACACACACACATGACAACCACAAATTCATCTGCAATTACTTTTAATTGTTTTAGTTTGCATTGAGGAACAGGTTTTTTGTCTCCACGAGACACAAAACAGTCATTACTTGAGGAGGCAGTTTCGATACTGTCATATTGCTTTAAACATGACATTTGATGTTGGACATGGATTACTATATTTTAGTCTTATGCCTTTAAATGTTAAGGTTTTTGCAAATTTTGTTTCGAAATTTTGAAAAATGATTTTGTTTGGTGTCTGACCTGTTACTGACATCTGCAACCTTTTGGAGTTTGGCTACATTTTTAAAAACCCTCAAGGCTCCAGTTTTGTATATAATAATAACATAGTAACACATAGTAGTTCATGACAGGAAAATATTAATAACACGATTTTTCAAGTCTGTTTCCTAATAATTACACAAACGTTTCCTGTGAAATTAGTTCTAAAGTCTATAGTTGTTTATTTCTACTGCTCCATTTAAGCCAATAATTGCTTCTTCCCTGCTCATTATTATTAAAAACTTAATTATTTCTTGTGTTTTTTTTGTCATTGCATCACAATAACTTAGATTGTAAAAAAAATATAAGAAGTAAAGAAAAGGAGGAAAAAGTATATAAAAGAAAAAAAGGCACACATACACACACTCTTATATACTGTACCTACAATATCAGTACCCAAATACTATAAGTAACATACACATATATATAAATACTTAAAAACAAAGTAAAATAAGTACAAAATAAATGAGCAGTGTGACTAAGACACAGGTTATCAATTTCATTAGCATTCATTTGAAATTATTCAATTGGGAATGAACCAATTAAACCTGTTTTAATTGTAATTAGTACTAAACTACACAGTTCTAAGGACATTCTATGGAAATATTGAGGAATTTGAGTACCTTAAAAGTAAAGCATTACCACATTAATTGTCAGTAGTGTTTAACGATGGGAAGGTGTAAAGATGATCTACAAGACTATGTACCCTCCCTCGGTTGTTAATCAGGCCGCGGGGCTGTTGCTTAGAAAGCAGAGTTGTTAGTTCCAGTACATCTGTCAGTGATGGTGATGGTGGTGGTGGTTGGGGGTAGTGGTGAGGTCTGGTTCCCAGTATGGTGGTTGACAGAGCAGCTGCTCCCTGCGCCAACCTTGGTCCTGGATATTTCTGATGGCTGATCTCTGCAGAGATTATTTTCATGCCACAGAAAAGACATAGATTTTACATTTCATGGATTTGAACTGCAGTGGGTTATAATGCTGTACTTCTATACTACTTTATACAGTTATATAACAGCTACAGTTACTCTTTAATTCAACCTTTCAACCTTTCAGATAGTTTCATTTAAGTAACAACGTGAAGCCCAAAGAGATAAAAGTATCACATAATTAAAAAAAACAAAACAAAGATTAGAGAAAAGTCCAAAAAATTGAAACAAATTTGTGAAACATAACTTTGTTTTTTCTTCTTTCCTGCCCTCATTAATCATCTCACAACCCCTCAGATTGATCTGCTTACCCTTTGTGGACTGACCCGTATGTTGAAAACCACTGTATTAAAGTAGTTAAAACAGTAAAATGCTGCTTTCACATTGATGCATAAGTATTTGTAATATAATAATGTATTATATAATAATATATCAGTGAGACATTTATCTGCAGAAGGAGTACTTTTACTTTGATACTTTAGGTAAATTCTTCTAATAATTCTTGTGTACTTTAACTTGTAATGGAGTATTTTTACACTGTGATTTTGGTACTTTTACTTAAGTAAAGGAGATGCATCTGTTGTTATTTGTGGAAGGAGATTGTTTCTGTTGTGAGTGAGGTATTAGGAATACTTTATCAAAGCCTATGGAACGTGTGATTATTAAGACCATACTCCTCATTAGTAATAAAGTAAAGTCATAAAGTCATAGGATATATTTCATATCTTCCACCTTGTTGTTTTTGCATCAATCAAATATGTGTTTGACATCATCCTGCCCCTCGTGTCTCCAGTTGGCCCTGACATTGAACTCATCGTCTCCCCACATGTTTCAATAGCTCAGGGTCACATTCACAGAAGCTCTTGGCTGCTGTCAAATAATAAATAACTCTTCTTCTTGGTTAATTTGTGGTGTAGTGAAGTTATACAGTGTCCTGGCAGCAAATCGTTGCTGTTCCAACTGTTTAAAGGGGGATAGCAACATGTCAACAAGTAGCCTATGGTCTGTAACGGTGAGCCCCTCCTCTTCATATGACACCGACAACAGCTGCTGCCCCGTCACGTGCCATCCTGCCTCGGTCCCTGGTCTGTCCATGTGTGGAGCCTCGTTGGCTGGCAAGCCAATAGATGCTATTTAAAAAGAGCCAAGTTCAGACGCTGAGCGAATGAGGAGGAGGGGTGGAAAGAGGGACGCGGAGAGTCATGTACATGTTTGTAGTCAGAAGCAATGGTAGTAGCATTATCAGCATTGTCAGGATTGTTCAAAATGGCCACTAGATGAGGTTATTAAAGAGGTCACAGACAGTGGTGTGATATGGTCGGAGAAGGTATTTAAAAATAGAGACATGCAGCTTTAGTTTAAGAAAGTAATGGCAAATCAATTAGCCTTAGCGACACTAATCTTTGATATTATGAAAAAAGATATCTGACGTTGCTTCAAGAGCGTTAAGCTCAATACACTTCCAAGCACATTAATGACCATAAATTGTAAAGGAACAGTGCGTGGCATTTCGGGGGGATCTATTGGCAGGAATTGAATATAATATTAATAAGTATATTTTCCTTAATGTATAATAACCTGAAAATAGTTGTGTTTTAGTTACCTTAGAAGGAGCCATTTATATCAACATAGGAGCAGGTCCTCTTCACAGAGCCGGAAGTCATGTTTCTACAGTAGCCTAGAATGGACAAACTAAACATGGCTCCAGATACGGATATTTGCATTTTAACGTTTTCTCATTGGCCAGCATAGCGACTACACGCTTGGCAAACTGAAGAAGTTTCAGTTGGTTGCAACCTAAACGCTAGATGACGCCAAATCCTACAACCTGTCCATTTAAGATTCTACAGTCATACTAGCAGCTCTGTGATGCTGTACTTGAACTGAATGCTAATATCGGCATGCTAACTCGCTCACAATGACAATCCTAACATACTGATGTTTACCATTTCCATCATGTTAATTTAGCTTGTTAGCATGCTAACATTTGCTAATTTGCACTGAATAAGGTAGAGCTTAGCCTAAAGGGAATGCCATTAGTTTTGCAGATATTTGGTAATAAAACAAAGTATTGGACAAACTGAAAATTGGAGCTGGTTATGGCGCTAGATGAAAAGTCAGAAGATTCCCAAAGTTATTAGGATTCATCCACTGGGAACCAGATTCATGGAAATCCATTCAACAGTTGATGAGTTATTTCAGTCTGGACGAAAGTGGTGAACCAACTGACCGACAGAGACATAGGATTGGTGTAAATATAAGACATGAAAAAGGCAACTAAAAGTCAGACTATGAGAAGCTCCAGTTGAATCTAATAATGAACGGACAATAAATGATCTAACACCACTCAGGCCCAAAGAGCAAAGTTGAGAAAATGTAAAGTACAGATCTTGATGTGAGAGAAAGATCATTTAGAACCGGCACACAGTTGAGTCCCTAAATAGCCCCTTAGGTTTCATTTACTTCCCGCCCTGAACCAGCACTGAGGTGATCTCTGCACCGAGGCTCAGGTGAACCACAACAAAGATCCTGCTGCTGTTTACCACCAGACGTCCAGCTGCCAGTCACTTTAAAGGCCTTCAACTTTGCAATAATATATTGTGACAATACTGAGTCAGTGCGCTGACTTTATGACTCCTCTCCACGTGAGCTAGTATCACAAAAGCTTTAGCTAAATGCTAAAAACTACTTTAGTAGTTAGCATTATCCGACAATTGTTACAGCTGCTGCGGTTTAGAAAAATGTACAGCCTCACTGTGATAGGTGGAGAGTTGATTTTAACGTGCCTTGTTGTTTCCGAAGCTGTGTGAACATCAAGTACGTTTTTTTTTAACAAAATAAAATAGCACAACAAAGATTTAGTGGACGTGAAAACAAAAAAAAACATTATTTTGCTTCCTCAAATATGCTGCCAATTGGTGAAATCACCTCGCGCTCATTGCCTTTAATTAATGTCATTATACAATTTGCTAGAGTTTGGACACTATTGCTGACCACTTATGGCTGGTTGTTGTTGTTGCATTGTTCCGGTTTGAGCAATTCCTTCCAGCCAAGCCTCATGCAACAGATACAAAACTAAACCAACCAAGCACACAAAGTACAAAAAACCCACAACAAAAATTGAGATATATGCTCTGGATAACCCCTCCAGTATCCTCCACGACCCCCATTTCTCCTATTTGTTTATCTCAGACTCCCTCTCTGTGTCTCCCCTCTCTGCCGAAGTTGGCAGACTGCGGCTCATTGCGATCATGAATAAGATTCCCCCAGTTGCATTCAATTCTTTGTGGCCGCTGTAAACCACAAAAACCTAACCCTGAGCTTCTTCACTGCACTCGTGCCTGTCATTCACACTGCTGCTGGTTCAGAGACAGAGAGTTTGTAGGTGACCCTCAGTTGGATTCAGAAAAAGGTGTCAGCCTGTGTGTTGTTGTGTTGTGTGAGGTTAGAGATTAGCGGAGAAATGCGCGTCTGTCAGTGGGTTTGTCACGTCCTCCAGCGACCATGAAACTGTGGTTTAAAGGCTGGAAACATTTGCCAGGGACCTGTTGTCAGTTGTTTATGAGGAGCTCACTGTTGGCTTTGGAACACACCTTTCCCTTTAATGAGTCAAGATATAAAGAGGCATTGTAGCGGACAAAGGAGACATGACAAAGCATTTTAAGGGCAGGGAAGAGTGACTCTTGTTTTCTTAGCTTTGTGAAAGTCAAGTAGAAGTAAGTATGTGTTATTGTGCGTCATTTCAGTGCTGGAGGAAAATCAAGTTCCAGACTGTTGAATTTTGCTTTACAGATCTAATCCATTTCTGTGGACATTATGTTCTCTTATATCATTGTCAAAGTTATATTATGGAAGCACACATCGATTCAAAAAGTCAAAAACAATAGAATGTCAAGATAGATTAGCCTTCGTTCTATACCTCTGAATGTTGATTTTCAGACTTATCTTCAATGAATCCAAACGAAAGGCTGCCTAAACCTAGACAAACATTAAAATATCCAAAAACTGTGACGCTTTGTGACTTATTGCTTCTGGTACACCAAAGATGTAATATGTAAAAAAGCCTTGTTTATGCGAAACTTTTGCTGTCAAAAATGTATTGAAACTAACAGAATGCAGAATAACATAAAAATATTCAAGTTAGTGTGATATGTTGGGGATTTTTAACACAAATGTAAAATATATGGAATAAATGAATACACCGGTGATCCATCAAGCAACATTGCTGCATTTCTATATACAGCATGTTCTTCCAAAAGGTCTTAAACTGGACCTTTAATGCGCCAGTTACATGACAGCCAACTTAACTTTTAATGAATGTAAAGACCAATGAAATAAAGGGTTTGAACAATTCTTCACTTTTCCTTCTTTTTTTCAGGTGCTGTGTGCTGTGTTCAAGTAAAAACACCAACAAAATCACAAATAATCCCAAACCAGTCCAACCATTTAGAACATTCTTAGCTGCAACCTCCAGCTAAAAGAACAGAACTTCAACTGAGTGTCAAGAAACATTTTACATTTTATTTTTGTTGATCAGCTGGATTTCTAGCAAGTGAAACAGCGTCCCTACCTTTCAAGAGACCTTACTTACAACTCAGTAAACCTTACTTACTGTAGGAAACCATTTAGTGTAAAATAAACACATGCTAAAATCTAAAAAAGACAACCTCAACGGTCAAACGATGGCGCCCAAGAAGAAGGCCTCCCGCCAGAAGAAGCCCGCCGTGGAAGCCATCCCTCAGGTTGCCGTGGAGACCGCCCCAGCCCAGCTGAAGGTGGAGCACCGCGGTGACGGTGTGGTGGTGGTGGAGAGCGGAGTGAAGAAGATCGAGCAGATGGCGGCGCTGGACATCGCTCAGCTGAACAGCCTCAATCTGCCGCTGCCGCCGCCGGTCATCAGGCCCGGAGAGCGAGGCCTCGGCCTGGGCAGCGAGCTGACACGACCCCTGCATGGCAACGCCCTGCTGGAGGAGCTCAGCAAGATGCGGCAGGAGAAGTGGGTTCCGATACTTTCTGTATTGCATTGGAACATAATATGAATTGATACAATTACTATAAGGCACAATAGCGACACGATATGATTAGATATGATATATTCACGATAGAATACAGTTTGGATACAATACTTTTACGATCGAGTACAATTACAAGGCACAAAATAACAATGTGGTACAATTACGATACGTTCAAATTGCGATACAATAAAATTACAATACGATACAACACAATTGTGATGCGGTAGAACATCATAACGTGTGTATTGTATTGTGTCATGAGTTATTGTCTCAGGAATGTGTGTCATCCATCGTCTTGCTCTCCTCCTCAGGTTCCTGACTGACCTGGAGTTGGCCTGTAAGACGAAAGCCTTTGACGTCCACAAGCTGGTCATCTCCTCCATCAGTCAGTACTTCAGAGAGATTCTGGCCAAAGACCCGGGCATGAAGCGCCTGGAGCTCCCCTCCCTCTCACCTCTAGGTACACCTACCAATTCAGTTTAAGCTGAGCCACGATATTACAATAATGTTTACAATATTTGAACTTCAGATCAAGATCCCAAACTTTCTAGCTGCCAAATATATTATGCTTAACTTTCAGGAAATTTGCATGAAATGAGAACGATTGACAGAATTCTGTAGTCTCAGCTTGACCAGTGTGGATTCTTCTTTATTTTATTTTGAGTTATGTGATGGCAAATTGAATATCTTTGAGCCTTCAGTCCCTATTTTCTAACATTTTATGGGCCAAATGATGAATTAATTGAGAAAATAATCCCCTGATTAAAATAAAAAGAACATTAGTTGCAGCCCTAAAAAGAAGCATATGTCAAATGTTGTAATGTTTGACTCAGTGTAAGCGTCTGGTTTTAAGTGAAATGTCCTGTCTCGCTCGGTCTGCAGGCCTGGCTAATGTCATTACCTTCGCCTACCTGGGTCGCGTCCACATGTCCCTGTACACCATCGGCTGCACCGCCTCGGCTGCCGCCACCCTGCAGATCCCTCAGCTCCTCAAGATGTGCACGGACTTCCTGCTGGCCGAGCTCAACGTGCAGACCTGCGTCTACATCTGGAACATCGCCGCCGCCTACGGCCTGGCGTCGGTGTGCGCCGCCGCCCGCCGCTTCGTCCTGGAGAACTTCGTGCAGTTCGCGGACACGCCGCTCTTCACCCAGCTGACCCTGGAGCAGATCTCCGCCTTCCTGCAGGACGACTCGCTGCTATTGCCTTCAGAGGTCACTGCCTTCCAGGTCAGAGGTCAAGCTTTGTCTTTAAAGGTCAAAGGTTGAAATTTGTAGCTACAAATTTTGGTTAAAAATATGATATTTCTGTCTAATGAATTTATTCACTGCTGATATCCTAACTGAGGAGAAGTGCCAGGTCTTCTAGGAGGAGACCGACTTCCAGTATTAACTCGTCGACCCTCTGGGCCTTCCTGCTATTTTCATCCAGGCCCTAAAAACAGACCCCAGACCAGCTGGTCAGAGCATAACACAGATCCATGCAGCATTGTGGGCAGAAACCGCTGAGAATATCTCACTGTACGCAAGAAGAGAGCTCGTGTATTAATATGCAACTCTGTTACAGACGCAAATAGACAGACAGCTGAGAGAAGCAGCAATCGCTGTATTTATAAACCGGACCAAATTTGAGTCTGTCTGCACTGTGAGATTATTATCACGATTCAGGTTTTGACTACATTTTTACTTTACTTTTATCACTGGAAATGGTTTCATGAATCCAAATGCATTTTTTTTTTAAATTTTGTATTTGATTATATAATTTACTTATTTGAATTTACTGCCTTGGGTGAGTCCCAAAACAAACAAAGGTGGCACAATGTTATCAGACAAGCAAAAAATATAACTGAATTTAATAAATCGGTTGTTAAATAATTAAAAGAAATATGAAGCTTTGTAATTTTCATTAAACCTCTAGTCAGTTAGTTCAAAAATAAATAAAGGTATTTATTTGTTTTTTCTCTTTACCATGGAAGTTGATGGAATAAATCAAAACTTTTTTTTAACTTTAATTTTATTTCCAATAGCTCATTTCCTGCTTATTCCCTATTTCCGGCACATATTTAATAATGTACGTATCTATTTCCTATCGTCCTCCTAACAACATTGTTGATCTATTTTGAACTTAACATCCTTTGGACTGTTTTGCAGCTACATGCTAATCACTTTGTACCTTTTGGTTTTGAAAAGTGCTTTGTAAAGAGATTTATATCATAACACATGACATGTATCTATGTATGAAATATCTTCCCTGTAAACTCTCCCTCCAGTTGGTCATGAGGTGGCTCGACTTCGACGCCTCTCGTCAGGCTCACGCCGCCGAGCTGCTGTCCCACATCCGCTTTGAGACGATCCCCGCCAGCGAGCTGGTGAGCCAGATCCAGCCGGTGCCCCGCATGATGATGGACCCGCACTGTCACCGCCTGCTGGTGGACGCCATGAACTACCACCTGCTGCCCTTCCAGCAGAACACCCTGCAGTCCCGACGCACGCAGGTCCGAGCCGGTCAGCAGACTCTGCTCACCGTCGGTGGTCGGCCGTCGCTGACTGAGAGAGCTCTCAGCCGCGAGGTCGGTGCTTTGGTGTTGTGTTGTCTCTATTATCCACCACCGTAGTAAAAAAACAACACAAAAAAACCCTCGCTGACCTTTGACCTCTGTAATCCAGGTGCTGTGGAGGGACCCCCGCGAAGGAGCAGCCACCTGGCGTCATCTCACCCAGCTGCCGGCGAAGAGCTTCAACCAGTGCGTGGCTGTGATGGACGGCTTCCTGTACGTGGCCGGAGGGGAGGACCAGAACGACGCCCGCAACCAGGCCAAGCACGCCGTCAGCACTCTCAGCAGGTAGCAGGGTGCTGCTGTTTAGGGCTGTGGATTGGCAAGCGCCTCACAATATGATGCGTATCTCAATACACGTGTCACGATACGATAATTTGCTGCTGTCTGACATGAACACAGTAAACAGTGTATGACGAGACACAAACCAATAGCCGGATTGACCCTAGTGGAGGCTACTATTAATCACTTAGTCCCAAATAGGCAGGTTGGTAACCTGATTAAACATACATTAGTTGGGGAACATGCACCATGTAATGACAAGTCTTAAATCTAGATTTTGAGACACAGGGCGTCAAGGTAAAACAGGACACACCTGAAGGTCGTCATGACTGGGGTCTGGGAGTCGGGATCCCCTCTGAACGTGACCCTCTGCCCTTTACCTCCAAACAGATATGACCCTCGCTTCAACACCTGGCTCCACCTGGCCAGCATGAGACAGCGCCGCACCCACTTCTCTCTGGCAGCCAGCGGTGGCCGCCTGTTCGCCATCGGCGGCCGCAACGTGGAGGGTCTGCTGGCCACCACCGAGAGCTACCTGCCGTCCTCCAACGCCTGGCAGATGCGCGCTCACATGGAGGTGCCCCGCTGCTGCCACTCCAGCGCCACTCTGCTCTCTGGAGACATCCTGGTGACCGGCGGCTACATCAACTGCGCCTACTCCCGCTCCGTGGCGTGCTACAACGTGGACACCGACGCCTGGAGCGAGAAGGCCCCCATGGAGACACCACGCGGCTGGCACTGCTCCGCCGCCCTCGGAGGGAAGGTGTACGTGGTCGGAGGGAGCCAGCTGGGGCCCGGCGGTGAGCGGGTGGATGTGCTCTCCGTAGAGGTCTTCTCCCCGGAGAGCAGCAGCTGGAGCCGGGCCGCCCCTCTCCTCCTCGGTGTGAGCACCGCCGGCCTCTCCCCGCTGGCCGACAAGCTGTACCTGCTGGGCGGCTGGAACGAGGCGGAGAAGCGCTACAAGGCGGCCGTCCAGAAGTACGACCCGGCCACAGACAGCTGGTCCTTGGCGGAGGATCTGCCCGAGCCCACGGTGGGAGTGTCCTGCTGCACCTTGACCCTGCCGCCCCGCCACGCGCCGCGCCGACAGCAGCACCGCAACACCCCGGCCCATGAAGAGCAGCTGCAGTCCGGGAAGAACCGGAGCAGAGAGAGCAGCATGGCTCCTTCCCAAACCATTACGGCATAGAGAGACAGGATGCACGGGAGAGAGTAGAGGAGAGGAAGGCTGGTTCAACCTCTGGAGAACATCTGGATAATGTTTGCTCTATATTGGGTTATATCTTGTGTCTGGAAAGGTGAATACTTAAAAATAAATTTAAATGTATTTTCATCTTTAAATAACACAAAGAATTTAGGAAAGAATAGAATTTTAAAAAACGACAACAAAAAAAGACAACCCTAAACAAATTTAGAAAACAATGCAACCTAGAAGATAAATATTTTTTGTAGCATTATTTAACTAAATTATATAAAATTTAAATACATATTTAATATACATATACAGTATATACATATATAATAAAATAAATACATTTTATATTTATATAAATTGAACTATAAAAGTACTGATAACAATGATTACTGAGAATTTGATTGGACAAAATTCAGCCCTTTTTTTTTTATAGATTTACACCATTTAGATTTAGTGTTGGTCCTCAGTCTTTCCCAAAGGGATTTGGGAGTTTCAAAATCATATTAACTTGACATCTGACCTCCATTATTATAATTTCCAAGAGAAAGCTGCAAATCTAAAATACAACCAGATACAGATCTATGAAATGTCCATGTGCTGGTTTTGTATGAAAGAAAGAAAAGAGAGCTTGTGTGATCCAAAGTGGTCTCAGGAGATTTTACATTGATGGAAACAGAGAAGAAAAACATGGATAAGGGATGAATTGTTTAGTTGAGCAGGTGGAGGTAGAGAAGTGATGGATGGAGGAGGAGGATGAATGATGAAGACGGGAACAGTGGCATGCGTTTGAGTGTGTTGAACAAACTATTAAAAGTTTGTGTACAAAGATGTATCTTAGCAGTGTTTGTAGCGTTCAACTGTGAAAACAAGTGCGAGAGTGTGTGTGTGTGTGTGTGTGTGAGAGAGAGACAGAATGACAGGAGTGTGTGTCCGTGACAGGAATATAAGCCAATTCTGACAAAAATTGCAATAATTAGGATTTCTCACCAGCAAACTTTAGCAGGTTAGAAATAAACAAACCTCATTTATTTGATGGTTATCTGTCAGAAGTAGAGTAGCGCAACTGTAACAAAATGTATTTAAAAAACATAGATGTAGTACTTAAATATATGAATATTTTATAAGTGCAATGCGAGAGGGATTACGGTGTGAACTCTACAACACAGGAGAGATTTTAAAGGAAGTAAAAATGTGCAAAAATGTATACTAAAGCGGGAAAATCGAGAATATTTATAACATATCTAAAAAAAAAAAAAAATGTAGAAAAAAATCCAATAATTTCAAACAAAGCCTCACCCCTGTGTTTGTTTCAAAACATTTGAAGATCTCTGACTGAACTAATTTTTACTGAAACTAAGAAACTACCAACTGAAGAACCAGTGAGACGCCAGCAGGTGGAAAGACAAACTGCAAAGAGTGGCAGCTGCATATCGAGTTATTGATTATTATTTTTAACATGAGATACAATGAGGTCAATCTGGCTCATCCGATTGGATGAATCCCTCTATTTGATACTGGACGAGCTCTGAGCTGGTGGTTTCACCGAATAAAGCCAAAGTGATCAAAACATGTCCAATTCCTGTCTTACTTTCTATTTCTACTTCAGGGCAGGCTGCTGGGAAATGTAGTCCGACAACAGAACGGAAGCTGTGCTGCAAGAAACGTGTCGTTAGGTCAGATTTAGAGCAAATTGAGCTTTGAATTCAGCAATAAAAAGGGATCATTACTTTACGTGAGATGATGTGTGATCGACATTTTAAAGATGCAATGGTGGAAGGATTCAGATCCCTTACTTTAGCAAAACAAGCAATACCATTAACAACTACTGTTTATGTTGGAAATTTTAAGTAAGATTATAAGCACAATGTTTTGAGTATTCGTGCAGCAAGAATGTCCCCTTTCACTGATGTTTTACTGATGCAATCAAGGGTAAGCAACATTTTGATGTAGCTGGTCAAGGTGGGGCAAGTTATATTTAATATACCATCAGGAAATGTACTGCTTAACAATGGAACTCACGTTGTATGCTCATACAAAGTAATTCAGAATGACAGCAGTCAAATGGAAGTAGTGGAGCAAAAAGAAAGAACTATAAAGCATAAAAACATTGAAGCATCTTCAGAGTTGTATTTACAGTACTTTAGCACATTAACTTCCCATCACTGCCCAGACGTCAGCTTTCCATATAGATATGGAACATAAACACCCTTTACTGGTTTGTTCTTGCCTTCTACCCTGAGCCGTCAATCACAAAAGAGTTATTGGTATCATTTCACATCTGTCCAGATGTTCCTGATTTTAAGGTTTTGTTCAAGAAAGTTTTTCCCTTTAACTCAATAAACCCAATTCTTTTAAACAGGGCCGATTAGGCGATGACGCAACTACAAGTTTCTTTAAGTGAGGCACGAGACTCATGAAAATAAGTAGCCATGTCTAAAATGTGTACAGCGTTGAAGTATCATAGTAACAACACCAAACAGAAAGTGTCCTTTTTTCTGATTTTATTTGTTACAAACAACATCAAAAGGTGGTCCTTTACTTGCCGGGGAGGATGATGCCGTCATACTAAAGAAAGGGAAATAAAAAGAGACAAATATTAGATCGTAATATACAGAAAATAAAACGCAACATGAAAGACATTTGATTCTTAAAGTAACATTTCAGCTGTAGTGGGACACAGACAAGAGTCAACACACAATATTAAAGCCACAGAATGCAGTCAATCTAATTAAATCATGAAAAATCGAATTGACCAGTTTACAATCATGCAGCAGTTTCTCTAGCATGTTGTTGGAGGTGGACGGTCAGTACAATAAGCCACTCTGGGTTTACATTTTCTGAAAATAAGCTTCCAAATCTCCCATCATAAACATGTTCATTTCTTCCAGGAAGTTCTTTTAAACAAAACCTGGAAAGCCAGTCGACAGTTTCCAGATGTCTCAGGATGTCAATGACAACACTCACTTTCTGCTGGAACCAGCGCATGGCCTCCTCTTTGCGGATGCGGTGCCTGAAACCGATGCGGCCTCTTTTCCGCTTCTTGTCGGCGATGCTGAAGCCGGGTCTGCCCAGAACCTGAACAACAGAGGTGGTGAGAGAAGCTTCAGCAAAGTCTCTCCGTTACACATGAACACTGCAGAGGCATCGATTCACATCACTGAATGGTTGTCTGGCCTCCTGACTTCAGTACTGGTTCAACATAATGTTTAAGATTCAAGGATTTCAGTAGACTCAGCAACAAGTCCAGTATATATTATTATATACAGTGTATAAAATAGCATCTCTTTACATTTGACAAGCTGCAAGTAAGAAATGATAACAAATCTTTACTAGATAAACGATTTGAAAGGTTAATCACTCGCTTACACGGTCGATAATTGGATCGATCGAAAATGAGTCATCTTATTGTTTTAGCACTAACATTTAATACTGATGTTAGACATTTTACAGAAGAAATCTTTTTCATGGAGACAAAACTGATTGTATTTGGCAAAGACAGACATAATCAAGCATACTTTTGATATTTGCACCTCCAGTGCTTTATCAGGTTCCTCATCAACAACATGTCAGCTGACCATGGACATGATTTACTTCAGACAAGCAACATAAAACATTCAACAAAAAACTAAAACAGCATTAAACCGATCTTCTGTTGAACTCCGACTGAGGAAGAAGTCCGAGGAGCAAGTTAACGACCTTCACATTAAATAAAATTACACAATCCATAATTCTACAAACACCTATTATCTCAGATGCAACATGTTAATGTATAAAGCACAAATCATGTCACACTTTACATAAAATCTTTTACAACAAAAAACATCCTAAGTGGTTTTAATTGTCTTAACTTGAAATTTAAAAATTGAGATGCTCAATTAGTACAACTTCAAAACAATAACCACTTTTCATTTATCGTAACAAATCCTTCCTACACCTCCCACATCTGTATGTACTCCATCATTTAGACCAGTTCAACGAAATTTCTAGGCAACAGCTTGGGTTCATGTTTACTTCCCGTCGGCTTTTGTCACACAGACTGCAACAGGAAATAAACTGGGAATTTAGGAATCTTTACCGTAATAACTGAAATGTTCCACCCCCAATTTGTGCCGTTACAACTAAGAATTGTTTACATAATTAGCCCTCACCACAATATCAACCAGTTTTTGGGGCCACTTACCACGTAGAAGTCCAGTCCGTAGATGCCGATGCTGGGGTCGTACTTGATGCCCAGATCGATGTGTTCCTGGATACCGAAGCCGAAGTTTCCGGTATCTGAGAAGTTGTTCTTTCTCAACTCGTACTCTCGCACCTGGAAGCAGGAAGCAATAATACGGTCATAACATTGTAACACAACCCCTAGTTGGATGAGTGAAGCCAAGATTTGAAATAATCAGCCAAAAGCAGGAGCCAAATAAAAGCGGTCAAACATAATTTTGTTTCCGCATGCATTCTGTTCTTGGAAAGTTGATCGTGACGGAACTTAAGACACATTGTCATCTGTACAAACAACCCTGAGTACAAGGCAACAGAACAGTTTTTTGCATGATGAGCACATCAACTTTGTCCTTTAATATTAAATTGAAGGTAACACAAAGACCAAAACCAGCTTTTAGCCGTATTTAACCTGACATCTCTCTATTTTCATTTAGTTGTTGATGAAAAAGGGCCCTTTACCCTCTAGTTGATCTACATCTTAAGAAACCTGCAGCCAAGTCACAAGCCAAGGACGACAGTTAGGAACAACTGAACTAGTGAGATGTGTAGACTTTCTGACCTTCAGTCCTTTTTCCAGGATCTCCTCTGCTTTGGCTCCACGGACAGTGCAGTGGACAGCAATCTTTTCATTTCTGCGGATACCGAAGGATCGCACGGTGTAGCGGGCTGAGAAAAGAAAACAGGACATTGAATACAAGAGAGCAATGTAAAAAAAAAACCTAATCACTTTCATGTCCAACAACTTTATCAAATCTTTCCCATTCTTAAGTCAAGTTTGACCATGACTGTCAGCTCGAGGAATGTGTATAAGTAGGCCTTGATCATGGTGTTGGATAAAACATTACTTCACTAAAGGCTGTACCTCAACACTTCCACAGCTCAGAGTCCTGCACTACAAACACTCACCCTTGGAGAAGACGGGGGTCTGCCCGGTGAGCTGCTCCAGCACTTTAGCAGCACGGGTCAGTCTGTCTCCGCTCTCACCGACGCAGATGTTCAGGCAGAGCTTGCGAATGCGAAGCTCTCGCATGGGGTTCTCCTTCTTCTCACCCTGTTCCTGGAGGACACAAGACAAACGGTTGAATTCATACTATGAATGACTACGAAGAAGTTGCAACACCCTGTCAACCGCTGCTGCCATGTTGAGTTTACCTATTAGCGTTAGCCTGCTATCAGGTTAGCACAGGCTAGACAGATAAACGAACATTTCAACAGCTTAACAGTCAGCTTCAGGTTAAAATACACACTACCATCGTCTTTAAAGCCACGACTTCTCGCAATGCTCTCCTCTGTCTCTACATTAAACTACCAACAGTCTCAGGCCAACGCATGCCGGCCGGAGAACATGTCCGTACATATCCCCGCTGCTTCTGCCATTAGCGTTGTCACCTAACGTTACGTGTCCTGAAAGTATAGCACTTCTACACAACTAAAATGATCACAATGAGAACATACACATGCCTGCTGCGTAGCCTTGGTGTCATTATACAACTACAATATTGTCTTCAATGACTGAATATTACTACAAATGTACGAGTCAACCGCATATTCCAGTAGCTAGCCTGCTAGCATCACTCGCTTTTTTGGTTAAACCGTCTTCCGCTTCATTTGTTAAAGAAATACGGCTCTAGTTTAATCCTTCATATTAGAGTTTAAGTCTCTGTACGTCAAGGAGCAGTTAGGATGACCCAACAGCTCCGATGATTGTAGATTTCAACTACAGCTTCACTTATGATCACCATCGTACGGTGTGAGACAGTACTCACCGCCATGTTGGATCACTCGAAGAGGCCGAAACGTTTCCGGCAAAAGAAATTTATAGTGAAGTGTTCACCGCAAAACATCTCGGGGAGACATCGCGGAGAAACGTGAGAGTTCCGGTTTACGGCACTAAAAGCAACAAAATAAGTACATTATTTTATTGTCTATCGGAATTACACATTTAATTGGTTTGAATCATCCACAAGTATCTTCACAGCGTGTATTTGTTTCACGAGTAGAGTTGAAACGATTAGCTGATTTGAGTAACAAGCAAACTGTTACATTGGGCTCTGGGTATTGTTACATTTTGTAAAAGAAACATTAATTAAGAAAATAATCATCAGATTCATTGTTGACAAAAACATTCCTCAGTCCTTGTTTATTGGCTTTTCACAGTACATACTTTTGCCATATACAGTATGTTTATGTATTAAACACCTATTATTCGTCATTACAGCAAAAAGATGAGGTATAATTATTTAATCTAGAAGAGATGACAGTAAACTGAGAGTTACAAAAACACAAAACAATACGAAACATTTTACATTAAAACAAAAAGGTACCAAATAATTTTTATGAAAAAAGGTCTTGCACCAAGATGATGTTCGTCTCATTTGAAATAAGGAAGGAAAGTAAAACATTCATACATAGGTTACTAAGGTTTTCTCTTTTTGAAAAGAACTACATGATTAAATCTCCCATTAAAACATTTCTGAAACAATCTGCATTAAAAGTAGACATGAGGATAATTATTTTCCCTTTGCATTATACATTATTAAAACCTTCTTTATCACCATGGAAATATAATATTTGAAATAGTCACAGATGAATTAGAATCAATACGGAATAATGCCCTTTATTAGGCTCCCTGTTTTCACCTAATACATAGACTCCATCCTAACTTACATATAAAATAGGACACAAACGACAGCTACACCAAACAGCAGGACCAGTATATACATAAATGCAGTGTCCAGAGAGAGAACTGTAGTCAGCATGGACAACTTGTCGGTGGATATCTCAGAGGAGGAGTCTCCTGAAGGACTCATCAGTCTGAGTGGTGGGACAGGAGCTGGATGCCTTAGCAGGGGCAGTCCTTCCCTCCTCTGCTCCTCCAAAGCGCTGACGAGGAAAGCCAGCGCTCTGCGGGGAAAGAGGGCCGGGGAGAAGAGGTTACAGTTGGGAGCGAAGAAGTGAGGGAGGAGGCCTGTGCGAGCGTGGCTCTCCATGGCCCCGAGGAGGTGCAGGAAGCAGGCGGGGAGCTGCTGGCGAGCCCACATGGAGTCGTCGAACCTGACAGGGGAAAAAGGTATCACAGAAATGACTGAAAGAGAAATTATGACACTGAAGGATATTTAATAGTAGTTTTTACAACCAGTTCTGCTAATATCATTCCAAAAACTACTTCCACCTCTAACAAACATACCAATAACAGCTAGATAACGCTGCAACTATTGATTATTTATATTATTTATTATTCTTTTTCGATTAATTGCTTCAGTCTTTCAAATGTCAGAAAAAGGTGAAAAACATAACCAAAATAATAAACAGCAAATATTCATATTTAAAGTAGCTGGGACCAGAACATTTTTGGCTTATATTTGCTTAATCAATTACTTAAAATATGAATCAATTATCAAAATTGTTGTCAATTAGTTTTCTGTTGATAGACTAATCAATCAGTCAATTAATCGATACCTTGTTCCAGTACTATAGTTACATCATCCTACTGCGATAACTGTTGCTGATATACATTACATATTTTGAATACTGCAACCAATGATTTTTTTATATGACTGATTAATATGTTGCTCATTTTTTAAATTAATCGAATAGTTGTGTTGTAAAATGGCAGAAAAAGTGAAAATGTTGATCATAGAGTCCAATTAGGTGTCTTTCACCTGCAATAACCAATTATTTTGGCCACTTGGGGGCAGCGGAAACTAGTTCAAATACAAACACAATATTAACAGTTACAGAGCAACATTATCATTCATTTTTTAGTTGTGTTTGTGGCTCTGTTTTTGTTCTCCAGTCAATGAGCTAAAACTGATTGTAAAGCTCCGTATATCAAGCCAAGGGAAGCTGCAGATTCAGGCGAGAATTCTCTGTAGGTTCATCCCTACGAGTGACTCCCTTCACATTGTAACATTGTTTATATTATTGTTATAAAAACAGATTATATGCTTTAAATGCATAAAATCCAAGGATATTCAATTTACAATGATAACACTACAACTACCTTTAACACTATAGAGCTACTACTAATGCAACAACGTCCACAAGGCTGTTACAGCAGCTGCTTACTTTGACAACAACCACCAGTGCTACGTTTCCATTCTTACAATGATAATAAAGATATTTTCATAATAATAAAGATGTCCTACCTGATGGAGAGGGTGTGTAGGAAGACTGTCTTCCCGTGGTACGAGCAGAGGTGATCCAGCTCCGTGGGGAAACATTGTTTCAGGCCTTCAATCAGAGACTTGAGGAGCATCAAGCACTGTTTACTACCAGAGACAAGATGAAATTGTTTCTTGTAAAAGGGCTCCAAGAAAAATGTTTTATTCCAAATTTATATGTCTTGCTGTTTTGAAATCGCGACACCGAAAACATCTTCAGTTAGAGGCTGTTATGGTGGCCTTTTTCAAATCTCTTAACCGTTTGTTCTTTTATTAAGTTATTGTCGACCCTATATACAGTATTGACTGCCTTTTTGAAGAAGTACATTATCTTTAATACCGTCCCCTCCATGAAGTGTTCATAAAAGTAGTAAACAATTGTTTTTATTGATTAGCCATCAATCATGTATTAAAGATTTAATCGGTTACAAACCATTTTGTAAGAACACATGGTGGTCGCCAGGGTTAGGGTCAGTTTGATAATAACACAGTTATTCATGTTGGTAATCCCATTTTATTAAGTCATCAAGTCTGCAGTTAGAAATGTCAATTAGTTATTATTAAAGGGTTTAAATGATCAAGTCTGAAGCTGTAATTAGGTGTTTAGTACAGAGTGTCTGCAGACCTTTCCTAGAAATAATTGGTCTTAAAGAGATTTTTTTTTCACAACCTGGCAACCTTATTACAGTGAAGGATGTGAAAACAGATGGTTCAGAGTCTCACCGGCAGCATTTGGTGGCGTTGCTCTCACAGCAGGTCTTCTTGTTGCCGTGGCTCCTGATGAGTTTCTTCTCGACGTGAGAGAAAGAAATCCTCCAACTTTCTGATACATAAAGACAAAAACAACCTGATGCGATGATGACAGCGTACAAATAACACGAACACTCGCACGCACAAAGAAGTCCTACATGTGTTACGAGGACAGCCATTCAAACTCCTGCAGCAGCCGGGGGAAACGTGATGGGAACACAAAGCAGAGCCACGTTGTTCCTGTTGTTATCGGGTTACAGTTCAGCCCCACGACGGAAAATAACTTACAACTCCAAAAATGTGTTTTATAAACAAACAATTGAAAAAGAAAACGTTAAAATTTGACTTCTATCAATGGTTTCTGTACATATTGGAGCTGTAAAAGATTCAACTCTGCTGAGGTGGAAGAAGTACTCAGAGTCTCAGATCTTTTACTTAAGTAAAAGTACCAAAATGTAAAAATACTTCATTACAAGTAAAAGTCCTTCAAATAAAAGTTAAAGTTAAAATTACACTAAATTCACTTACCCTGTGACTGATATGATAAATGACAATATTAATGCCGATGCATCTACATGTAGGAAGCACAGATACAGTTGTAGCTGGCCGAGGTTAGTTAGGTAGTGTAGTCCAGTGGTTCCCAACCTAGGGGTCGGGCCCCTCTAAAGGGTCACAAGCTAAATGTGGGGAGTTGTGAGATAAGTGATGGGAGAGTAGAGAAGGAAAAAAATCAAGTTATGATACACAAATGTATGCAATTTTTCTTATATAGAACAAACCTTATACAGTTATTTCAATGTAACCAGTACTGCAAACGAATCACAGACACCTGAAACATTAGACTGAGGTTTTCTTTTTAGGTCAGAAGTCAAAATGGTTGGAAACCACTGGAGGAATCTTTAACAAAGTAATGTATTTCATTACATTCAACCAGAAAAGTAACAAATACTAATAAATGTAGTAAAAAGTATAATATTTCCCAGCAGAAGTGTAATGAAGAAGAAAATGGAAATACTTAAGTAAACTACAAGTACCTCAAATTTGTACTTAAGTACAGTACTTGAGTAAATGTACTGAGTTCTTGCTCCACCACTGCCTCCGGAGATAAACCACTGTCTTTGGAGCTCCACGGACTTCATGTCAGAAAGTTTTGCATGTTGGCATTAAAATCCTCTACGGATAAAGTACCGTCTTGCTTCTGTCACAGTCATTGTTGTTCAAATACAACAAAACCAGACGGACGTTTCTCTCACCTTTGGCTTCCTCACTGAGGTTTCGTCCTTTGAGCCTCTTCGGTATGAAGAAGCACGGCAAACTTTTGATTTCTTGGCGAACCTTCTTTCCCAGCCAGTTGTCCACATCTGGACCGCTGCGGACAGCGAGCGGCCAGCCCTGAGAGGAGTGAACCTCCATACAGCAACAAGAACAAGTGTTACATTAAGTACAATACTGCTGTCACTACTACCCTTACGTCTACTACCTACCTCTGACAATACATTAGTACATAGAACCCTCACTAGTATTCCTTCAACTGCCATTACTACTACTGCCTTTACAATTATGACTTTTAATGCTACAATAGGTGGAAGATGTATATCTTTTACTTTGGTAAGATAATGTAAAAACTGCAAGTATTTTAAAAGCAAACATACATAAGTATTATCCAGTGAGTACTTTCTGGCGGAAAGTACATTTACTCAAGTACTATACTTAAGTACAATTTTGAGGTACTTTGAGGTCGATTTTATGTTACTTTATACTTCTACTCTGCTACATTTCAGAGGCAAATATTGTACTTTTTACTCCAGTACATTTTAACAGTTTAGTTACTACATATTACTTCGCGTATTTTGTGTGTGTATGTGTGTGTATTATCATATATCAATGCATTTGGTCTGTTTTTTCCCTCTCATCTCCTAATTCATATCAATCCGAGATCCGATGATTTGATCTGTCCAGATTTACACTAGTCCTCGTGATTAAACAAATCTAAATGATTACCTCCAGAGCAGGAACCAGGTCCACAGAGATCAACTCGTCACTGCAGATTTCATTCCTGCACAGAGACAAAGTCACAGCCGGCGAGTGAAGTCGCTTCCTGTTCATCTCCCAGCGAAAGCCTTCATCAGGCACTGGAAACATGGGAACGTGAACACAGACAGTTATCCAGGTTCCCAAAGTAGGATGGAGGTCCACAAAGAAGTGTAGAAAATGAGTCCTGATAACTCGAACTCCAACAGAAATATAGAGGGAGAAACCAGATGATTATCACAACAACAACAGCAACAGATGAGAGGTAATGATCAGACCTTTGTAGGTCTTGAGGAACTTGCGGACCAGGCGATACATCTCACTCAGGATCTTATTCGATGAGAGGGTGCGCCCGTTCTCCAGAACAAAAGCTCGTATGGGGCTCTGAGTGGGCCGGGCAAGATCGATCCGGTAGAAGAGGCCGCCGTCGAGCTCTGTCATGTTGAGGCGCGACGGGGCCTGAAGCTTCAGCATCATGTTAAACTCATCGGGGCTGTGGATCTGAGATTCAGCACAACAAAGAGATGGATGGTGCATGTTTATCTTCCATACACTTGAAATGTCTAATGTTTACTTTATCTGATTCAAAGTAACTTTGGGGTCCGGGGTCCCGCTGCAGTTGTCTGTATATGCTTCACAATAACAGAACATGCATTTTATGATGTTTAAATCTTTGTGATAAACCCTTTTAGTGTTTTAAATTAAATTAGGCTCTGTAGGCGTATTGTTGCCTTTAGAAATTGTGTTTATCACAACCTCACCTTGACTTTCTCAAAGTAGCTGCCGCTGTTGAGGAAGTCAGCGGACTGGAAGAAAGGCTGATCACTGTTGCATCTCAGGAATTTCAGCAGGTTGTCTCGGAAATCGTTGACCACCTCTGCGGCCCAGCGGCGGTCCGTCAGTCGGATCTTGAGGTCTTTAGCGTTGAGTTTGATCCAGCTGGTCAGCTCCGGAGAGACCGACTCCTCGACCACTTTGGATCCCTCCTCTGCAAAGAGACATGGATTAATAAGTACATTTACAGACTACTTTAGTAGTGCCTATTTCTTTGGCACTGTGGAACTGAGATGTTCTCCATTTATTTCCTGGTGTCAGTGTTACAGACCTGTGTGTCTGACACCATTGACATATTATCCAACTATCGAAATGTTCGAATTGGTTAAAAGAGCCAGGTTTCAAAATAACCCACAACACTCAAGGTGTTACTCATGGCTGACTTCCCCATGGCTCCTCCCACTTCACATTTATATTGGAACTTAGTAAAATTAGCAAGATCATTGTTGTGTGGGTGTATCTAAAAAGATTGACTGGGATTATGCAAATATATCTAGTTAAGTCAAAAACGCACAATTTATTGTGTTTTGAACAAATGCAGATTAACTTCAAACTAGATATTTTCATGTACAGATGTTTTATCACAGATTGAATTATGCTACATATACATCCGCTCAGTGCAATAGATTCCCCTAAATCCTACACACTGTATGATCTGAATATGTCTACCACACTAACAACAACATTCAACAACAAATAGCCATGCCATAATTACAGGTATTTTGAGAAAGGTTTTGAACAAATTTAATCTGCACCTGAAGCTTGTTTCTGCTGAGTTTTCTGTCTCTGTCTTGCTGGTGTGAGTTGAGGAGGACTCGTCTTTCCTCTGGTGTCGTCTTTACGCTGCTTTGCTTCAGCCAGACTGCACTTCACATCTCTGTCCTCTCTGTCCATCACTCAGCCTTGAACACTTATGGATGGTATCTGATGGAAACCACTGGAGGCGTTTCTAATGGGAAGAAGATCAGAAGACCATCATTTAACTAAGTCACAGCATATACGGAAAAATCTTGGAAGTTTTATTTTAAAACAGCAGACAAAGCACACAAAAAATATCATAAAACTTGTCATCCTAGGAGAACCTATTTTGGTTCCTGGTAGAGATTTTATAAAGAGTGTTCTACCTAGAACCCAACATAATGGGTTAAACCTAGAATCATCTGTGAAACGTTCCACCCAGAACCCCCTATAAGAGGTTCTACGGACAAAACTTCTATTGTGTAATGGTTCCATGCAGAACCTATTCTTGGAAGTTCTATCCAGAACCTTTCCACCTTCTAAGAACAATCACCCACCCAGGGGGTTCTATACCAAGAATCCTTTTACAATGTAAGTGATTCATCTATAACCCTATCCTTTAAGATATGGGTTCTATAACACCTTTTAGATTTAGAGGATAGGTCCTCTAAAAGGTGTTCTTTGGATGAAAAAGGTTCTGAATGGAACCTAGTCTTAACATTTGAAAAACACTTTTTTTCAAAAAATTGATCTTTAGAAGCAAATAGTTCTAGATAGAACCTCAGCCATTCAGGAAGAACCCATTTGAAACACTTATTTCTTAGAGTGTCGATAGATAGACAGGCAGACAGACAGGCAGACGGACAGATAGACAAACAGATGATAGATAGATAGATAGATAGATAGATAGATAGACGGACAGATGATAGATAGATAGATAGATAGATAGATAGATAGATAGATAGATAGACGGACAGATGATAGATAGATAGATAGATAGACGGACAGACGGATAGACAGATAGACGGACGGACAGACTGACTGACTGGTTGGTTGGTTGGTTGGTTGGTTGATTGATTGATTGATTGATTGATTGATTGATTGATTGATTGTCACGATCAGGCTTTGCCTTGTGTGTTCTGTGTGTCTTTGTTTAGCTTCACCCTCCTTACTCCCTCAGCACCAGTCCAACTCCCTTCACCTGTCCCTGATCCGTAATCAAGCTCTCCCTCATCAGCACAACTCTCCTCACCTGTTCAAGTCACCTTATAAACCCCTGTCTCTCAGTCACTCACTGCCAGGTCATTGTTTGTGTTGTACCCGCCTGTTTGTCTTGTCCTGCTCCCGGTTTCCCACGTCTGCCTGTCCTGCTGGATTTGCCCCCTCGTCTCTTGTCTCGTCCCTGGATTCCCTGTGTGTTCCTGTAGTGTTGACGTTCTGAGTTAAGTGTTTATTAAATTCCATTTCACTCTACTTCTGGTCTGCGTTTGAGTCCACCACCATGCCTCGTGACATAGGTAGGTTGATTGGTAGGTAGGTAGGTTGACTGATTGGTAGGTAGGTAGATGGATAGCTAGGTAGGTAGATGGATGGATGGATGGATGGATGGATGGATAGAATATCCTCATTATATTACAGTGGTTTAACTCACCTGTGTTTGAGAAGCTTCTGTTGCAGATGGAAATGATCGCTCCTGTGTCTTTCCTTCTCTCCAGTATCTTTCCTTTCACTTTCAATTTCCATGAAACGTAATATGAGGATAACGCCTTCCTCATTGCCTCCTCATTTTACAACGACTTAAAAGGTTAATTCATGCCAGTTTTACAGTTCCACTCATTAATAATGATACTGCAGGTGATAAACAGTTTGTTGCACATTGGGCCAACTAGTTTAACCAGTGTTTCTGTGTCACATTGTAACGAGGCGCATCTTTCTAATTGTTTAGGTTACGTATTATAATCTTATAATGACGTAACAAGTTCTTGAATTTGCATGTAAATTAAAAACTATATACTTTTATGACGATAATCCTCTTAGAATCTGCAGAAGAAAATAAGAATTGACCTTATCAAACTTTATTGGAGTATAGCCTAAAAATTGCTCCACCGTGTGGTAAGATAGTTTCTTCAAGAAGTCAAAATTTTGACACCTGAGAATTATAAAAAAGTAGGCCTATATCAACATCATAAAACGACAAGAATAATAATAACTTTATTTATATAGCACCTTTTAAAAACAGAGTTTGCAGCAAAAGCAAGGCAATAATATCAACAGAAAGCTCAGCGAGACAGTTGATACAATTTTAAAAAAAAAAAAAAAAAAAAAAAAGTAAAATAATTTTGTAAAATCAACAAATAAAACAGAAAAGCGACGACATCGCATAAAAGCCAGTCTGTAAAAATGTGTTTTAAGACGTGATTTAAAAGAGATTACTGATTTTGCAAGCTTCATCTCCTCAGGCAGCTCGTTCCAAAGCCGACGGGCCCTGATGGCAAAGGCACGGTCAGGAGGGCCCCACCCGAGGATCTGAGGCTGCGAGCTGGCTCATAGGGGTCAACATTTCCTCTCTATATGTTGGGGCTAGACTCATAAGTGTTTTAAAAGTGATCAGTAAAATCTTAAAATCAATTCTAAAACAAACAGGGAGCCAGTGGAGAGAAGCCAGGATTGGGGTGATGTCATCTTTTAGAACCAGTGAGAAGCCGAGCTGCTGCCTTCTGAACTAGTTGGAGGTGAGAGAGTGACTTTTGGTTGATGCCAGAGAGAAGGGAGTTAGTAGGCGAGTCTTGAAAAGATTAATGCATGAATGACTTTTTCCAGGTCAGGGGGAGAGAGCATTCTTTTGATTTTGGCAATGGTTCTTATTTGAAGAAAACAGGACTGGATAACATTTGTGGTTTGAAGCTTAAATCTGAATCAAAAACTACTCCTAAATTTCTGGCAGTGGACTTTATGTTAACGGAGAGGGGGCCAAGGGCACTTTTAATGGGAGTGATAGGGTTTGGGGGACTAAACATTATGATTTCTGATTTTGAGTTATTGAGTTGAAGAAAATGTTGTGCCATCCAACAGTTCATATCATTAAGACTGAGTCTAAAATAGCAGCGAGGCTTCTGGGGCCATCAGGTCTCAAGGGAAGGTATATCTGTGTGTCATCTGCATAGCAATGACAAGAGACATTGTGATGTTGGATGATTTGACCAAGTGGGAGCATGTATATGGAAAATAAAATTGGACCTTGGGGTACACCACAGGTAATGTGAGATGTAGAAGATGAGAATACCGATGGTGACCGAGTGGGTTCTATCTAAAAGGTAAGAATAAAACCAACTAAGTACAGCGTCCTTGATACAGTCCCACAGCCCAGTCATCACACACAAGCTGTCAGCATGCCAATGTTAAGTAGTTGTAATGTTCACCAAAGACAGTTGGATTTATCTATAGGCACCGTGAATATCAACATCTAATGTCATGGCATGGCTGTTCATGCAAAAGCTGTCAAGATATTTCTGTCTCAACCAAACTGGTGACTAACAGACCAACATATCCATCCACAGAGTAGACAAGTAGAAGTTTTGAGTCCCTCAGAGGATCATAGTGCTGCAGGAATGAGTCCTAAAACCTGGAAATCAGTCACTGTACCCTCGTCTCAAAGCTAATTTGTCTTTGGTTAGATGTCTGATATAAGGTATGTGGTTAACACAAGCTGAAGAGATTTTAATGTTTTGTTCTATGACAGAAAATATGAGAGTAGTGTACATCTTTAAAATGAGAAACGTCATCATGCCGACTAGTGCGCCTTTAGAGCCTTGGTGTAGTTCATAGCCCGACGTCAGCTTTTTACTTCTGGAGATTGCATTTATGATTTTAAAAAAAAAAAAAGAAATCATAAAAGTAGTCTTCATTTGTGAAACGTTTGAATATCATTAACTTTTGTTTAACACAGAGCTTATTTTCTGCAATAATCAACAAAAACCCATAGTCATTTCGTCGAGGAAGCCAGTGCGATGCTTACTTCTGGGGTTGGCCTACAAAAATACATCAGCCCCGCAGCACTCTATTCGCCTATCACTTAAAACCCATCTTCCCCAGTTCAGGGTTGGTATGAGGAACTTTTAAAGTGTCACGGTTAGCTCTGAACTCAATGTTAGTTGACTTAAATGTTTTGGTATTCTGGAAACTGTCTTTCTTTTTTGAAATCCCCACCCAAGACATTGCAGAGGAAACTTGAGTACCCCAGAATTGAATATTTATGTCATTGTTCAGACCAGACATTTTGCAAAATTAATTGGTGTTCCTTTCCTTCGTTTCCCTCTCATGTTGACTGAAGGGTCTTATGTTCATCCTTCTTTAAAAGTCAATGAAAGGAAAATACAAAAAAAGCATGCTGGATATTCAAAAGTTGTGAAACAAGAAAAGAAACTTCTTCAACAGGCATGTTTAAGATTTTTTTTATTATTCTGCTTTTAACCTAATTCGTTTCAACAGTTCTCTAAAAAGCCCAAACCCTCCTTTCCGGCGGAAACTTTTCCGATGGGTTTTAATAATCATAAACCAGAAGGCGGCGTTGGGATGAAGACGGGATGGCTGCTGAGACGTGACTTTTTGTTGGATGTCCGGCATGAGAATTCATTTCTTCTTGTCTAACTTTTGTGCAGACTTGGTGACCTTTCCGCCATCATCCTTCTTCTTGGTTACCGACTTTATGACACCAACAGCCACAGTCTGCCTCATGTCACGCACAGCAAAGCGACCTGAGAGGAAGAGATGGACAAGAAAAGACAGCCAGGGGAGTCAACGAGATGATAATTATAACAAATGCTATTGACAGATTTGACAAAATGAATGACTCATATTATGTCCTGACAGAGCCTGAATTGAAATTTTAAAAGTTGATAAGATTCTGGACGTCACATCAGTCTTTTTATTTATATTTTGAATACTATGGATGAATATTACTCCGTGGATCGATCCCACTCTGTCCATTGGTCAGAGTGGGATACATCCCAAGTCTCTTAATTGTCGTTTCCTCGATCCTCGCTTGAACCGGAAGTTGTTCTGCGCCGCCATATTGACGGCCATCCCAAAGCTCTTATTTAGCTCGGAGGAGCGAGGAGTGAGGATGGAGGAGGGACCTCGGAGGAGCCATGAGCGAGGACCCACGAAAACAGACTTCCAGGAAGTCTTTTAACGACCGACACGCCCCCTCATTGTTCATCAGTTATGTGATTGGACGCTGCAGCTGATTGGACTGACTGGAGTTTCATACCAGAGTGAAGACGGATCACAGAATAAACTCAAGCTTCATATTTGACGAGTGTTTGATGAGTTTTATCATTTAAGAGACACAATAAACAATAATAAGAAACAATCATATTCTGGGTTATTTAATAATGACGTCACTGTCACAATTTCAAAACGTGCAGACGCAAATAATTCATAAATAAGATGATCGCATTCCGCCGGTAGAAATCTATCCTAAGCTTATAAACAGGACAGTTTGTTAAAGAGGTAACAGACTACAGAGAGAAAACACCTCTACAGTGATGATTACTGTGTTATTAGTATTATTAGTTACTATTAAGTACAGTGATCATGTGAACAGATACAAACTTCTCAAAAGTCTCTCCAGCCACTGACAGCCGACTGACAGCTGATCAGCTGTGATCATCAGCCACCGTCATCAGAAACAGACGTCGCTTCACGTGACGCAACTGAGGAAAGGACGTCTCATGTATCTTGAAACGTATTTCCTCGTTTCTCTCTCCTCGCATGGTTTCCTCCATGCATCCCTGCTGGGAGGGACTAAGTGAGGGAAACGGGGATGCAATTACAACTTCTTTAACCCTAGCCCTATTTTTGGGCCTCTGCCCGAAAATTGCATACCCATACTCAAGAGAGTCCACAAATCTAACTACAATGTCTATTTTAATAATTTTGATGCTAGAATACAGGTAACACTTGTGAGATGTGCTGAGATGTGTAAATATTGTGTATATGTTACTGGTTAATAACATATACACATATGGCACAGCTCAAATTGAGAAAGTTTCAGGTTCGCCTGAAAAAAAAGCACTTGTATTGAAAATTTTTATTTGAAATAATGCAGATCTTGGCCTAAAAATATGCCAGTCATAGCACAACATGTTTTACATGTCTCAACAACAGATTTTACTTCGATTGAGCGAAGCAGGCCAGCATAAATGGTCTGAGTCAAGCAAAATTCTCATTTTTGGAACCAGCAGTTGCGCTGCTGTATTCTAATTTTATATACTATATAACTAAATATTAACTATATATTCACTTGTCTTATCACTAAGAGTGTTCAATAATCCTAATAAAGCAGTTTGGCATCATTTTGAGCAATTTTCAGCAATTTTCAGCTGTCATATCTGTCATCCATAAAATAAATTCCTCGGTGCCTGTGTCTATGTAAGCCTTTGTTAAGGCCTGTGATTGGCCGATTTAATCATGTGACACCTTGTTGCATGTGGAAGAGTCCAACGAAAGCCATGGGGGTGTTTTGAGAAGCTGCAGGGCCTTTTACTCACTGAAAATCTCGAAATGCTTGGCACAACCCCCATGTCTAAATTCATTGGTCCAGCTGACTGAATTCTTGCCATTCTCTCATACAAGAACCCTGAGCCGCCATTTCACTTCACAGGCACAGTTCAGGAAACGGGCTATAGAGCTGCCGCATATTTCAATGGATTAGCTGCGTGGTGGTTCAATTTTTTTTCTGTTGAGTGGTGGGTTGTTGGTTGGCGTTGTTTATGTAACTTTTGAACGGTTTGAAAGAGAGTAATTTGAACACCGCCAGTCGACGCGGGGTCGAATCACGCCCCTACTGCATATGTAAATCGGCCATGATCGCTGCTGGCTTTGTGATGAGAGACCCAAAAAAAGAGCATAGTACGCAGATTTCTGGCCAAAAAAACGTGGTATTGTGGTAAATCTTCTAGATATCTTCTAGATATGATCTTAGTTGGTGTATAATTGTGTTTTGCAGTGTGTAAAATGGCTCCCATGGTTGTTTCGCCCAGAATCTCTTTGTTACATAGGTATATGATATGTCATAAAATATAATTTTATTTGTTTCGCAAAAGTGAAAGTGTGTACTCTGTCTCTCCACCTCTAGTCCCCAATATTGGGGACTTTCGGTACCAAGATGATTTATTAAGAGACTTGAGAAGTACCCATATTTAAACCAGATGAATCAGAAAACTAATCAAATATAAAACTAAAAAAGACACTAAAAACAAACCCATTCTCTACGACAACAAAATGGATTGTAACCTTCAAATGCAGCGAATGAAGAAGAAAAAAAGCCTTTTAACTCACCCAGTGGAGGATAATCAGAGAACTGCTCCACACACATGGGCTTGCCTGGGACCAGTTTGACGATGGCAGCATCTCCAGACTTGACAAACTTGGGATCATCCTCGATCTTCTTGCCGGAACGACGGTCAACCTTCTCGATGAGCTCGCTGAACTTGCAGGCGATGTGAGCGGTGTGGCAGTCCAGCACGGGGGCGTAACCTTTTTGGATCTGGCCGGGGTGGTTCAGGACGATGACCTGAAAACAAATAATTTAGGAGAGTTCTCTATCCAGTACTCAATTCAGGCTTTAGATGAACACATATTGCAGGTCCCCGCAGGTGGCCAGCAGAGTTCCACAGATATTTACGTTTACCTGAGCTGGAATCACTCATGCATCTCATTTTTTTTTTAGATTATCATTAAAGCAGGAAATTTAGCAGTCAGTACTAAGGTATTCAAATAATACACAGGTTCATATATTCATGTTATTTTAAACATGTGTAAGGTACAGTGAGTGGGGTGACCGTGCCACTGCCATTTAGAAACACACCTTGTCAGCTGATACCAATGCCAATATCAACATTGTCTGTCAATTGCATGATAATCATGCATTCAAATTGACATTTTTATTTTAAACATAAATGTGGAAATGAAAATGAGTGATGGCCTATTAGTGCCACTGCCATGCATAAACATACCTGTTATCTTGCATACAATACTGAACTATTAAAATAATGGACAGATTCATGTTTGGGGGAAAAGAAATATGAAAAATTGTCTAATCAACCAAAAATGTCACGACCCCCCCTGCAGTACCTCCGCGGACCCCCTAGGGGTCGCAGACCCCCTGTTGAAGACCTGAGATAGATCATAAAGCAATAGATACAATATTGAAAGGGTCTTAGTGTAAAGGTAAAGCAAAATAAATCTTGTAAATGTTTGGCACTTTTTGATTATGCCAATCTAAAAATGGAAGCTCGGATGCTCGTCCATCGTCCACTTATTCCTTTATCAATCTTTATGTACTTTCTTTCATTTTCTCAGACTCACCTGGGCGGTGAAGTCTGAAGCTCCTTTGGGTGGGTCGTTCTTGCTGTCGCCGGCCACGTTCCCGCGGCGGATATCCTTGATGGACACGTTCTTGACGTTGAAGCCGACATTGTCGCCGGGCATGGCTTCGAGCAGAGACTCGTGGTGCATCTCCACGGACTTCACCTCAGTGCTCAGGTTGCAGGGAGCAAAGGTGACGACCATGCCGGGCTTTATAATGCCGGTCTCAACGCGGCCGACGGGAACAGTTCCAATACCTGAGAGAGCAGAAACAACAAGTTTCTATTATACAGTGTGTGAGCTGTGATTGTCGGCTTTTGGGAGCTGTGAAGTACAGGCTGTGGAAACAGTTAACATCCCAGCCCGTACGGGGAATAAGGCTGTGACAAATCTGTGACACTTCTTAATTACCTCCGATCTTGTAGACATCCTGCAGGGGCAAACGCAGGGCCTTGCCTGTGGGACGGGAGGGGGGCAGGATGCCATCCAGAGCCTCCAGCAGTGTGACTCCATTGGCATTGCCCTCCTTGCGCTCGACCTTCCATCCCTTGAACCACTTCATCTACAAACAGATTCAAAGTAAGAATTAAGTCCAAGTCTAATCCATCAAGTCGACAACTTGAGCACCACAAAGATTAAATTCTCTTACATTGGCACTGGCCTCCAGCATGTTGTCTCCGTGCCACCCAGAGATGGGGACAAAGGGGACGGCTGCAGGGTTGTAGCCGATCTTCTTGATGTAGGTGCTCACTTCCTTGGTGATTTCCTCGAAACGGGACTGGCTGTAAGGGGGCTCGGTGGAGTCCATCTTGTTGACTCCAACGATGAGCTGCTTCACGCCAAGGGTGAAAGCCAGCAGGGCGTGCTCACGGGTCTGGCCGTTCTTGGAGATACCGGCCTCGAACTCACCAACACCGGCAGCAACAATTAGCACGGCGCAGTCGGCCTGAAACAGGGGAGACATTTTTTCTAAACTTCTACACATGTGCGTGTCTTGTTAAAGCCTGAATGATGGTTGTCTTTTGCTCTGTGTGCTTTTTTCTGAACATAATCAGTTTTTTTTACATTATCACAACTTCAGCTTTTCCCTTTGGTTTTCTTTTAGGAACGAGGCTGAATACCAACTGAATCAAACTGAAGATGGACATTCAATGGCTCCAACATTACTTTACCTCCATTTTCAAAATGCCGTATTTGGGGACTTTTCAAAGGACAGTCGGGGTGGAAATTAATGAAGCGTAAGTTCAGTCAGGAAGGCTACTCTTACACGCCTAGGCCTGTAGTTTATTTTTTATACATCTGCCATTCAGTCCTCGCATGCTCGATCATAATATCCTTGCTGTCAAAGGGTACATCCCAAGTCTCTTAATTGCATCCCCGTTTCCCTCACTTGCGTCCTTTAATTGCGTCTTAGTCCCTTCCACCAAGGATGCATGGAGAGATGCAAGGAAACCATGCGAGGAGAGAGGAAAAGAGGAAATATTTTTTAAGAGATATGAGACGTCCTTTCCTCAGTTGCGTTGCGTCTGTTCCTGATGATGGCGGCCGTTGATCACAGTTGGATCAGCTGACAGTTGGCTTTAACAGCTGGAGAGACTTTCGAGAAGTTTGTGTCTGATCACATGATAATAGTAACTAATAATACTAATAACTAATAAAGACACACAGTAATCACCACTGTCAGAGTAGAGGTGTTTTCTCTCTGTAGCCTGTTTCCTCTTTAACAAACTGTGCTCTGTTTTTAAGCGCAGGATCGATACCGGTGAGATGCGTTTGTCATATTTATGACTTATTTGCGTCAGTACGTTTTGAAATTCAGATTGTGACGTCATTTTTAATTAACCCAGCTATTGATTATGGTTTCTCTTGAATATTGGAATTAATGTATTAGGCTCCATGTTTCAGGTTAAACTTAAATGATATAACTCATCAAACCCGACACTCAGGAATGATCAGCCTCACATGACTGAATGGAAAATTCAGTGGGATGGATGATGATGTAAAAAGCTCTATTAAATATGATTGTCTCTACCTACTATGTTAATGCTGCCATTACGCACCCCTCCACCTCCCCATCTACGCCCGGTCTTCGCAGATGAATTAGCTTCATCAACTCATCATTCTATCAGCCACCACCACCAGTGTCTGGACTCTGTCAATGCTTTATCATCACATATCATCTGTTAATAATAAACAATGATATTTTCTTCATCTGACTTGTCTCTCCTGATTGAAATAAATAGATGTTGGAGTTGATGCCCTCTAGTGTCTGAGACCTTACTTCAACTTATAACGTTAAACAAATGTGATAGAGTGATTTCTTCTACAACCCCATAACAGTGGCTGCCCTTTAGAGCTCAAGCTAAAAACTTAACTGCAACTTGTTGTGTAACATACAAATCTGAAAGTGAGAAGTCAAATAAAGAGCAGGTTAAAAGGTGCGCCTGTACCTGAGAGGTGCCGGTGATCATGTTCTTGATGAAGTCTCTGTGTCCGGGGGCATCGATGATGGTCACGTAATATTTGCTGGTCTCAAACTTCCACAGAGCGATGTCGATGGTGATACCACGCTCACGCTCGGCCTTCAGTTTGTCCAGCACCCAGGCGTACTTGAAGGAGCCCTTGCCCATCTGTTGAACAGACATAGAGCGGGAAAGACTCTGTGATTAATGTTTTTTAAATAAAAACATTTACGTCTTGCAGATCCCCTTTTTAGATTTAGATTTTTATTTTGTATTAATACGATCAGTTTAAAGCTGGTATTTAATTTACTTTTATACAGTGTGCATCAGCATTTTGTTTTCATGTTAGATTGCCTTTTGTGTCTTCTAAGTGTATTTATTTTAATATTTACTATAATTATAACTATCCAGGTTTCAAGCTATTTATGGTCATGTGCACGACAATTACAGAGAAGCAGATGTTGGCAATGAAAATCTTCCAAAAAGGAAAAAAAGAAGAAAATTGCACAAATATAATAAGCAAAATAAGAATCAAAGACACAAAATAGTTAATTAAAGTTAAGATAAAAGGCTAAAATATAAACAGGAAAATAAATTTGTCTTAGGTAGTATTGCAAATACTACCAAAAACAGGAATGTGGTAAATGTACATGAGAAGTATTAAATATAGAGGTCATATAGAGGTATTACTTCAGTTTGTAATACATTAAGTATGCAAAGGTAAACGACAGTATAACTGTACAGCAGCTGTAATATCTGTTTTTTTCGTCTTTATGAGTGACTACAATAGCTTCCTTGTGATTCTTCTATCATTGCTAAATATTTAGGTTTTCATTAGGGCAAATTGGTTATGCTTGTGTTTTTAAAGCAATTATTTTATGCATAATGTATTGAGGCAAATTTGTTTGCAATATAGGCTAGTAGCCCTTGTCACGTGACACATTCATATCTACGTTAAAACTGCAACTTCTCTAAACAGGAGTACTTTCTGAAAGAATGCCTTTAGTCAAAGTCAGTACAAGTATTTCAACAGTAGGAGGCAGTCGCAGCCAAGCCAAATCAGGGAACAGTCACATCCGCCACACCTGTGATGAGTCATAGATGTGACTTGTCTCATTGTGTTTTATACGGTGTGATTATTTCTCAAAAACCTCAATGAATTAATTAAACCAACCTCAGCGGCTTCCTTCTCAAACTTCTCGATGGTTCTCTTGTCGATTCCTCCGCACTTGTAGATCAGGTGGCCTGTGGTGGTGGACTTGCCGGAGTCGACATGGCCAATGACCACGATGTTGATGTGGATCAGTTCCTTTGCCATTTTGTCCTGTGTTAAGCATTTAACGAGTAAAGGGTAGTATAAAAGTATATAGTTGGCAAAATAAAAGAAGTATCAAACATAGTATCCGTTGGAGGGGCCCCTGGCAGTGTAGCATGATGGGCCTCGTGTTCGAGGTGGCCTTCTTTTTTGGAGGGAGGGGGAGGGGCTATTTCCATACTTTTGGATGTTTAAATCTATAACTAAACACCAAGTTTAACAAACTAATTATATGTTTTGTATAAAATCTTAATCTGAAAAGTAATTAGTAGCTGTGAACAATGAGGAACATTACAGACCAATGGAAACTAGTTCATTATACTTCCTGCAATGGAAACCATCAGAAACTATCACATACAGTACACATACTAAGCAGTCACTGATGTTCACCCTCTGGAGACCAAACCATTAGCTCAGCATTCAAAACCCCACTTCTAGTCTTATTTCATTTATCTAAAGTCTTTTGGTGCTATTTACTGAGTTTTGATTTCTCAGAATCTGAAGCTATTACAGCGTTTTAACTCACCTGGTTGTTGCCTGTCTCCTGCTTTGTCTATCCACACCTTCCCTCGCTGCTATCCCCGTAAAAAAAGGACTCTGTAAAAAGTGATCAGCAAATTATACTTTCCTCCAACTTGCTCCTCCTCTTGCATCAGGAATAATTATACTTCTGCTCGTGCTATGTGCACGCACGCACACATTCTCGGGCAACAAGTTTTGCCAGTCTGTTCTTGTTCGTTATACCTTACAATAACACACCTCCTGACACCTGCCTGCCCCACCTTCTGTACCTGGAGTCTCTCTGTAATATTTATAAGAACTGAGAAAAGGCCTAAAATGTATCAAAAATGTGTGTTTGAAGCTGCCGGAGAAGTGCTACTGCAGTTTTTGTGATCACTTCATTCCTGTAATGTAATAAACCACAAAAGAAACATCTTCGTTTGGCAATGTTTAAGATTTTTATTGGTTTGGTTTCAACTTAACTATGATCATAGCTTCCCCTAAGAGGAACAGGCCTTCCTTTCCTGCGGAAACTTTTCCGATGGGTTTTGATCAGCATAAGCCAGTCCTTGAGTAGAGAAGAGCTCTGCCTCAGAGGAGACGGCGCAGGGTGGCGGGGGAGGAGGAGGGACGTGGCGGGCCGCTGCTGCTGGGACGTGGCTCTTTGTTGGATGTCCTGCATGAGAATTCATTTCTTCTTCTCGGCCTTCTGTGCGGACTTGGTGACCTTGCCGCCGGAGGCGAGCTTCTTGTCGACGGACTTGATGACGCCGACGGCCACGGTCTGCCTCATGTCGCGCACAGCGAAGCGGCCTAGGAGGAGGAGACGGACGAGAAGAGAGAGAAAGGGAGGAGTCAATGAGAGGCTGAAAAGAGTCTTCTCTGTGGTTAAGGTGTAGCTGGTGGAAGCGGTGAATACACAGTGCACATTATACTAAAGACCAATAACTGTATCTGAGTAATGAAGCACCAAAATACCTGCAGAAAAGAGTGCTTTAGCTTCAGACCAAAATATCTGCAGTAAAAAAAGGTCGATAGCTAATTCTAAAACCAACAAGAACACAGTGTTTCACTCACCCAGTGGGGGGTACTGGGAGAAGCTCTCCACACACATGGGTTTTCCAGGCACCATGGTGATGATGGCGGCGTCTCCGGACTTGAGAGCCTTGGGGTTGTCCTCAAGCTTCTTGCCGGAACGCCGATCGATCTTCTCCTTGAGCTCGCTGAACTTGCAGGCGATGTGAGCGGTGTGGCAGTCCAGCACGGGGGCGTAACCCTGGGAGATCTGACCGGGGTGGTTCAGGATGATGACCTGCAGACGGACAGACGTGGGGGGAGGTCAAAAGAGCAACATCTAAGGATGTGGACTGGTTGGTGCTGGATAACACTATACTCCCAGAGGTAGACTGATGGCTGTGTGGTCTAACAGGGACACCAAATAGTCCATTCTGCTGTGTAATAGCAGCCTAAATCAAAGGGGAAATACAATTACAGTTATGTACTCTTAAAGAAGGGATCAGGATTCTAACCAGGGACTTTTGTTGCACGTCATGTCCGTCTCTCTATCTCTGCCCTCATATTTCACTGTATACCGCCACAATGTCGACTCTTAATTAAAGGCTAAAATGCCACAAAAAAAAAGGAATAGTAATATTTCGGTTTCAGGTTTCGAGATTTCTGGCATCCCTTCTCACCTGGCCTGGGACTAAATAAATGGTCAGAAGAGGACGACTGAGGTTTATAGATTAGCTAAACACCTTTTCAGTCACAATAAAATAGCATTCAGAGAGCGTTTCTCTTCCTTAATTTAAAGGGACATTCCATAAAAAAATAAGCTTTCATTTGTTAAGGAAACGTACGAAGGCAAAGTTCCCCGGGCCAAGTTCTTTGCTAACTTTTGCCGAGGAGCAATAGAAAGCATCCTGACGGGAAACATTACAAACTGCCATGGGATGTGCACGGCCCAGGACAGGAGGGCTCTAAAGCTGGGGGGACTAAAACCGCTCAGAATCATCAACTACTGAGCATCAGTGATACTGGTGACAAGAGGTGCCTGCGAAGAGCCCAAAGGATATTAACAGACAAAACCCAACAAATTTGGGGGACTCACAAGAGACAGATTAAAAAAAGGAAGGATCAGAATTGAAACAGCAGTGGCTGAAATATCTGGAGTCGGCATTACCCATAATGCAACGTGACAGTGACTTTCACATAGACATGAATGAGAGTAGAACAGACATCAAACTGTTTGCTGTGGTCATTTGACTAGTTTGCTGTTACTATGGTGACAACACAACACGCCGTCCTTTGCTTTCTGTATGTACTCCATGTTAAATCGCTGGGGGATAAAATATGAGTTTTTTATTACATATAAGCAATCCTTCTTTTTCCCCTCTTGCTGAGACTCACCTGGGCGGTGAAGTTGTCGGCCGCCATGGGTGGGTCGTTCTTGCTGTCGCCGGCCACGTTCCCGCGGCGGATCTCCTTGACAGACACGTTCTTGATGTTGAAGCCGACGTTGTCGCCGGGCATGGCTTCGGTCAGAGACTCGTGGTGCATCTCCACGGACTTCACCTCAGTGGTCAGGTTGGGGGGAGCAAAGGTGACGACCATGCCGGGCTTCAGGACGCCGGTCTCAACGCGGCCGACGGGGACAGTTCCGATACCTCAGAGAGCAGAATTATAGAGCGCTTTTCAGTTACCTTCAAAATAAAAAAAACTTGTAAATTAGCAGACGTTTTGATGAAAAACATCTTATACATTTTTCTATGCAGCCATCTTTTGATCACTTTTTATTTCTCTCACAGTGTTTGAAACATTAGAGACATGGTCCTGCTACGAAGAGGAGTAACATCATAGCATGAATACGTGGCAGGTGAAACGTGGGCGCAGTTCAACTGTACACTTACACAATCCGGTACATCAAGTTCCCCCATCTATGATAAGCCTGTCTGAACAAGTTGACAAGCCGTCTGCCTCCACTCCCAGAACGTGTTGCTCAGCAGACATTAGAGGCTGGGTCTGTTCGCTGTGACTATATCACTCGAGTGTCTCCGGTTTCATCCCAAGATGCTGCCTTTGCTGTTGCAACTGTTTCAAGAGTTCAGGTAAGTGACTCGACTCTTATTTCCTTCGGCTGTGTTTCGGTCCGAGTTTAGCTTTATTTTGTTAGTTAGTGTAGACATTGTGAGTAAAAAGTGTTCTTGGCACTTTTTTGTCAATACTTAAATTAAACCCTTTTCAGACACGGAACATGTGACATTACGGGCTTCGTGCATCTGTTAGAGTAATGGCCTTTTGGCATTTTTGTGTACATAAATGTTCTTCATTCAGAAGCGAAAACAGTCACGGAGCCTCGCCTGACATTTGGCAACTCTGGTGGGAGTGGCGGCACTGCTGGAGAACTGCTGTGAGCTGTAAAAGCAACGAGGGAGAGAGGAGGAGTGCTTCTTGTTCAGTCACAGCAATGTTTTAAAGAGCTCTTTTTGCCCTTGAAGGCCTGATTTATGATCACCGTGGGCAAAAGAGAGAGACTCGTTCTGCATCTTACAGTAAGACTACTGGATACATTTCTCATCAATTTCATTAATTACACAGAAAATTCTGCTGCAGTTTATAACGTCCGACAAGACCGTAAGTCGGGATTTAATTGCTGTTTGCTCACATGCTCTGTACAAAGTGTTTGACTGGATATGCATGCTGCTGGTTGGTTTATTTTGGTGACTGTACGATTCTTTCTTCTTGCACCGTGAGGAGAAAAAAACCCGCTATTTGCATCGACGTGAAGCTATGCACTGCTCGTTCTCAGTGTTAAACTGATGTTCTTTTCTTTTTGTGTGGGAGATGATACATACGGCATTTTATTCAGCCTTAGATTAAGATTACAACTGTGACCGTTGTGTTAAAAAGAGACTTTGTAGTTCAGACCAAAATGTTGAATCACATTTATGTAACATGTAGGTAGACTATAAAAAAGTTTGTAGAAAGTTTGTGCCCGTTTCCACTTAACACTATGTTGCATCATTTCCCTTGAGGGGATGTGCTACGAGGTGCAGGCGCTCCTTACCGCCAATCTTGTAGACGTCTTGCAGGGGCAGGCGCAGGGCCTTGTCTGTGGGGCGGGAGGGGGGCAGGATGGAGTCCAGAGCCTCCAGCAGGGTGACGCCGGTGGCGCCACCCTCCTTGCGCTCTACCTTCCAACCCTTGAACCAGCTCATCTGAAAAAAATGGAGAGTGCAGACACAGAGATGGAGAGGGGGTTAGGGAAAAGTGATGAGGGAAAGCAAAAGAACGATGATTAGTTTAAGAGAATCACTTGCGAAAATCCACGGCATATTACGCTGACGTGACATAGATCTGAGTCAATGTCACAATTTGATGTGAGGTAGACTTGAGCTTTGCGTGTAATAAGTCCCTCACCTTTTCACTGGCCTCCAGCATGTTGTCTCCGTGCCACCCAGAGATGGGGACAAAGCCGACGGTGGCGGGGTTGTAGCCGATCTTCTTGATGTAGGTGCTCACTTCCTTGGTGATTTCCTCGAAGCGCTTCTGGCTGTAAGGGGGCTCGGTGGAGTCCATCTTGTTGACTCCGACGATGAGCTGCTTCACACCAAGGGTGTAGGCCAGCAGGGCGTGCTCACGGGTCTGGCCGTTCTTGGAGATACCGGCCTCGAACTCACCAACACCGGCAGCAACGATCAGCACGGCGCAGTCGGCCTGAAACAGGGGAGACATTTTTTCTAGAACATGCACATTTATACATAAAATATAAAGCGATGAGTCGGTGGACAACAGGTTAAAAGGTGCGCCTGTACCTGAGAGGTACCAGTGATCATGTTCTTGATGAAGTCTCTGTGTCCGGGGGCATCGATGATGGTCACGTAATATCTGCCGGTCTCAAACTTCCACAGAGCGATGTCGATGGTGATACCACGCTCACGCTCGGCCTTCAGTTTGTCCAGCACCCAGGCGTACTTGAAGGAGCCCTTGCCCATCTGTTGTGGAAATAGAATAGGTGTATAAATAAAAGTGTGAATCATTCAGTTTACTTTAAGTTCAATTTAAGATTTTTGTAAAAAATAAGTCATGCCTCTAGATGTAAAAACAGCAAACTTTATATCGCTCTATCATCCAAACACAGTTTCAGTCAATCCTTTAAGCAGACTCTTGGTACCGATACCATTTCAATATTCGTATTTTCCGTACCATAGTTTGTGGAACATAAACATCTTTTAGACCCTTTTTTCATTTAATAAAATATGCCAAATTACTGAAAACATTAGTGTCAAATAAAGGTCTCTGTCTTAAAATATCATGTAAAGTTAGAAATGTTTCCTGATTTGGATCAAATCGATATAATCAAAGAATAAGAAAACATACCGAAGAATTTGACCAAGCATTAAATGCCAATTTTGACACATTTCATTCAATATATACCAAAAATATTGAAGTTTGTTTCCCTGGTCCCAGTTTCCATTCAGATGATCCCATACTTTAGAAGCACATACTTTTATGCTATTATCATTTGTTTGAAGCTGCAAATCAATTCACTCAACTACATAGTATATTAATATATTTAATTATGTAGTTACTTCAAAAGTATCAGGCTTTTTTTCCCCCCTTTCAGTTTAAAGCACGTTTTTAAATACAACATTGGTGTGTGTGACCTGTGAGTTCAGTGTGTCTCAACATTTTTCTAATTTTATATAGATTTCTACTTTAACATTTACTGATTTTAGTTCCCATTAGGAAACACTGGTTATAATATGGAAATAATGATTCCATTGAGTAATTGAGGCAGATATAAAATGTACTATTAACCTGTAGGTTAAATAATTAGATTTTAACAGGTACATTTTCAGTACAAGTTACAGCATGGATAGTACATGTCTTTAAGCAGTAGGTGGCAGTTTTAAACAATAGTGAGCAGCTTCATCCACCACACCCACATACACCGACTTCATAGTCTCATACATACGTGTACTTAGGTGGGATTTTAATGCATTCGTAGCAGGCTGGTGTCTCCAAAAAAACCAACCTCAGCGGCTTCCTTCTCGAACTTCTCGATGGTTCTCTTGTCGATTCCTCCGCACTTATATATCAGGTGGCCTGTGGTGGTGGACTTGCCGGAGTCGACATGGCCAATGACCACGATGTTGATGTGGATCTTTTCCTTTCCCATTTTGAATTACTGGACGTAAACATGGGAGCAGTAATGTTAACTTTATAGAGACACTGCACCTAGCGGTCACTTTGACTCGGTGTCGATGAGTTTATAATGTAATTTATCTAGTATATAATAACTGCGGCATACGCACTTCACTTCTATCTAGTCGGCCCTTTAGTACTATGCCCGTGTATTGGACATAAATGCAGCTCTGCTGTTGTGCAATTACATATTTAATTTCGCGTTACCGACTTCACACAATCTTTACTGAAACTGTCATAGTCGGTGCTCGTGCCCGCCACAAGAAAGGACACTGGTGAGTCACGCGCTCTATGCCGGCTACTCCGCTGCCTCCATGTTGCGCCGAGACTGCGGAGCCGCCATGTTACCGACTGATGCAAGCGCGCGGCCAGACAACATGCAGCCACAGCACTGGATGCGCGTTCACGACGGTAGATAGAAAGGACTACCATGACTGGCAGAAACTAAAGCTCAAGGTTCCCAGTTAGCGTTTAACAATCAGTGCATTAAAGCCCCGTTAGGACAAAGCCGAATAAGCCACCACATGCGTTTGGATAAGAAATGTATGAGGTGAGCTGGCATGTTTACCTTTTTCATGTTCAATAACCAGAACTCAAAGCAGTCCTGCAGGATGAGATTGTCTTTTTTCCCAATGCTCAGGACGACAGCCTGTTTCGAATATTACCCCAGCTCCTCTATTCAGGCATGCATTTTTAGATGGGATTAAAATATGACATTTTACCAACCTGTGCCCAGCAGAAAAAGTCGTCCCCTGATTTAGAGCGGAGGGAAAAAAAAAAAGAAGGACAGAACGTGATCAGTCCAGTTTTTATACTGAACCAGAGGAGAGGGGGCTGTGCATGCTCTTGCTGCTGTCAGACTAGAATAAGGGGGTGCCATTGGCCGGGGCAGCATAATTCCTATCGAGACGATTGGACAATAAGTGCATCACTGGGCACAGATAGCATGGTCAAAAACAGCTGCAGCACAGAAAGCCTGGCTTACCTGTGACTACCAGCTCTAACAGTGAACGACAGACAAGCCAATTTCAATTTTTTCAAAGACATTTATTTTATTAGTTACCAGCAGCTTTCTTTCCAATTAAATGTGGCATTTTAAACAACATTTCCAACTTAAACTTAACTGAGAAGAGGCACCGTCATGTGATTCAGGTAAGCGACAATGCCATGTAGTTCTTTTTTCCTGCGGAAACTTTTGCGATGGGTTTTAATCAGCATAAGCCAGTCCTTGAGTAGAGAGCTGTGCCATAAAGAAGAAGATCCAGGGTAAGGGCAGGACAGAGAGGAAGGAGTGGCCCGCTGCTGCCGGCACACATCTTGTTGCTGGATGTCCTGCACGACCGTTCATTTCTTCTTCTGGGCCTTCTCTGCAGCCTTGGTTGTCTTTCCGGATACATCCTTGGGAATGACAGACTTGATGACACCGACGGCCACCGTCTGCCTCATGTCACGCACGGCGAAACGACCTGGAATAGAAGTGGGTTGAGCGTTTAGTAAATGTGTTTATGCACTCATTTTGTTGCAATAATTTATAAAGTTGTGTACATGGTAAGTTTTTCCGGTACGTACCAAGGGGAGGGTAGTTGGAGAAGGGCTCAACAACCATGGGCTTCTGTGGGATCAGTTTGACAATGGCAGCATCTCCAGACTTGACAAACTTGGGCGCATCCTCAAGCTTCTTGCCGGAACGACGGTCAATCTTCTCGATGAGCTCGCTGAACTTGCAGGCGATGTGAGCGGTGTGGCAGTCCAGCACGGGGGCGTAACCTGCGTTGATCTGGCCGGGGTGGTTCAGGATGATGACCTGTGGACACATTTTGAATTAGAACTACCAAATTGCAACTTGACTCAAAACAAAACTAACGCAATTCTATTCAAGTTCACAATCCCCAACCTGGGCATTGAAGTTGTCAGCTCCTTTGGGTGGGTCGTTCTTGCTGTCACCAGCCACGTAGCCACGACGGATTTCCTTGACAGACACGTTCTTGATGTTGAAGCCGACATTGTCGCCGGGCATGGCTTCGAGCAGAGACTCGTGGTGCATCTCCACGGACTTCACCTCAGTGGTCAGGTTGCAGGGAGCAAATGTGACGACCATGCCGGGCTTTATAATGCCGGTCTCAACGCGGCCGACGGGGACAGTTCCAATACCTGAGAGAGCAGAAACAACAAGTTTCTATTATACAGTGTGTGAGCTGTGATTGTCGGCTTGTGGGAGCTGTGAAGTACAGGCTGAGGAAACAGTTAACGTCCCAGCCCGTACGGGGAATAAGGCTGTGACAAATCTGTGCCACTTCTTACCTCCGATCTTGTAGACATCCTGCAGGGGCAAACGCAGGGCCTTGTCTGTGGGTCGAGCTGGGGGCAGGATGGCATCCAGAGCCTCCAGCAGTGTGACTCCATTGGCATTGCCATCCTTGCGCTCAACCTTCCATCCCTTGAACCAGCCCATCTACAAACAGATTCGAAGTAAGAATGAAGTCCAAGTCTAATCCATCAAGTCGACAACTTGAGCACCACAAAGGTTAAATTCTCTTACCTTTTCACTGGCCTCCAGCATGTTGTCTCCGTGCCACCCAGAGATGGGGACAAAGGGGACGGCTGCAGGGTTGTAGCCGATCTTCTTGATGTAGGTGCTCACTTCCTTGGTGATTTCCTCGAAACGGGACTGGCTGTAAGGGGGCTCGGTGGAGTCCATCTTGTTGACTCCAACGATGAGCTGCTTCACGCCAAGTGTGAAAGCCAGCAGGGCGTGCTCACGGGTCTGGCCGTTCTTGGAGATACCGGCCTCAAACTCACCAACACCGGCAGCAACAATTAGCACGGCGCAGTCTGCCTAATATCAAAAATCCAGATTTAAGTAAAGTGAAACAAGATACAAACATGGGTCAAACTTTGAGCGTGACAATGTATTAACATGATAACTAACCTGAGAGGTACCAGTGATCATGTTCTTGATGAAGTCTCTGTGTCCAGGGGCATCGATGATAGTCACGTAATATCTGCCGGTCTCAAACTTCCACAGAGCGATGTCGATGGTGATACCACGCTCACGCTCGGCCTTCAGTTTGTCCAGCACCCAGGCGTACTTGAAGGAGCCCTTGCCCATCTGCGGAGGGAAGAAATACAGAAATATTAAGATTTTGTTTGATATTAAACCAGATTTATACCGTAGAGAGATTACTACATGATTGCTCATGTATTCTGTATGTTTTAGTAAATATGAATTTCAAAGATCATAATATATTATTTTAAATACCCAACACACCCACTAAGTCAACTTCCTGGCTATCACATCCTTTTAATTACTTTGTATATTGATTATATAAAACAAACAGTCATTTAACCTTTTCATTTGGTGACATTTCATTTGTAGGCTATAGCTTATCAGTATACCAAATATGTAGTCTTTGTACAACAGCCTGAGACCCCTACTGAATGAAGTGCACAGTCACCAACAATGCTGCTTGCGTTAAGCCCCACCCCTGCGTGCGCGCACACGGGTTGATCGCTACATTCGCGTGCCAGGCAGTGGCGGTCAGAGTGGGCACGCTGACGCCGCCATCTTGCCTCTGGACTCTAGCCTGTAACGGTTATAAAGAGTGAAAAATATACAACTGCTCACCTCAGCGGCTTCCTTCTCGAACTTCTCGATGGTTCTCTTGTCGATTCCTCCGCACTTGTAGATCAAGTGGCCGGTAGAGGTGGACTTGCCGGAGTCCACATGGCCAATGACCACGATGTTGATGTGGATCTTTTCCTTTCCCATTGTTGTAGTTTCTGTCACGAAAGAAAGAAAAAAGATTAAGCTCTCAATTTTTAAGCGCATCATCGTTTATTAGCTTATCGTAGCATTCAACCACGAGTAACGGTAATCTGACGCCAATTAAACCATGACATCTCGGGCACAGCTCAATACGAACACCGTTCGACAGTAGCTCATGAAAATTGAGCAAAGCCAAAGCTCACATTATCACACATATCAGTCGAACCCGCTTCCCGTGTTAAACCGTTAACTAGTCGGTAAAGGTACGGGAATTTAGCCGCTAACAGGCGGCGGCTGCTAGGCCTCACTCGGCCACAAGCCATCTCAGACACGTGTTACTCCAAAGGCCACGTCGTGCTAAGTTGCAAATACTTCCAAATACAGAGCAGCCATTTCGTTGAGCCTCCCAACACCGGTCACTTGAAAATATGTACGGTCGTTTCATAGAGGTGGAATAAAAGGAAACCCGATACCAGCAGCCTCGACGCTGTGCATTCCAGTCCCTTCTTTGTTCCCCTCCACTTTCTCTCCTCCCTCCTAACCCGCTTGTTAATAAAATAAAAAAACCTTACGGTACCACTCACTACCGTTAGCATACCATCGAAACGGGAATAGCACTGAGGTTAGCGGAGGATAATGCTCACATTTACCGCCAAGTGTAGCGTTAGCTCCTTCTGAAAAAACCTACAGGTTTATGTTGAAGTTACATAACCGAGAAGGCAAAGTTTAGACTCAAACACTCGACGGAAAAAACTCGAAGCTGAATCGTATTAACGATACACATCAACAACAGTTAGCGCTAAAGGTCCGAGTTGTGCTCTCTGACTCTCGTTTAACTCAAAAGTTCAGCTTACCGGTGTTTCTGGGTTTTCACGGCCGACGCTGCTGCCCCTAGCCAGGTAACAGAAAGAGGAAGACAAGGGTTGGACTGTAGGTTTTATACGGAATGGGAGGCGGCCTGACTTCCTGTCGCCCTCCCCGGTGGAGACCCCGCAAATCACACACATTCCTGCAAAAAACGTCAGCACGCAACCGGATGAACCGCCTGAAACATGTATGATGTCTCACACGGACGCTGTGCATTTTAGCTTATCACTGAAACCAACAACAACAGAGACTGTATACTTGGTATAATGACAACAGTAATAGTTCAGAAACAGATTTGGGTTATTTGACACACTTCATCGACCTTCATCGATAGGAACTAAGATTTAAAAAAAAAACATTCACTGAATAATATTACCATTAAGTGTTGGAAACAAAGTTTAATAAATGTAATAGGAATACTGATATTTTTCAATCATTACCAGATACAGCTTCACCCACTTATTATTACACAAATGATTACAATGACAAATAATGGATTTCTATCATTGATATTTGAAATAAAATACAAATAAATAACTATTTCAGACCATAACAGCACAAAGCCCTCCCCCTGAATTCCCTCCCACCCACCCACTGGTTATACTGGGATGACTCTTCAGCCTGAAAAGATTATCCAAATCCGAAATTTGCATTCAAACAGAGCCCAGACCCCGAAAAGATGAACTCATGCTGTCTTCAAGACACCATGATCTCGCCGGCCCTTTACATTTACAACAGACGCACACACCCAAGTGTTTGATTGAATTAAACGCTGATGTTCTCAGGGGGAAGTGTATCTTCAGGGTCAGCTGATGTACTGAACAACCACCACAAAAACTGATGCCTTGATATCCTAACTGCTCTCCTTTGTTCACTTTTCAGTGATTTTCATCAAGTTATTCTCCTTTCAACCACTTGCCATCTTTAAAGTAGTTAAAGTGTCTGCTTAATTAGAAATAGTTGACTAATCTGGGAGAAATGTACTCAATCACAATGATGCAAGTTATTAACCGAAGAAAAATGGCCTGCTTTGTCACTTGGATGCTACTGGAGGTGACAGGAGGTCAGATTCTGCCTCTTCCTCCATCACTGTGGCTGGCATATTGCTCAGTACAGAGGCAGCTGGTATCCCCTGGTACACACACACTCGCTCGGCCTTCCCTCCAGTTCAGGTAACAGCCACTCCAGCTTGGCGGCTGCTGTTTTCACTCAGTGGAGAGCAGAGCGACCACAAGGGGAGGCTGAGCAGAGTGAGGGGCCCGAGATGTGGGGGAGAAGAGGCAAACAGTGGGTCGACTGAGAGGCAGAATAAGAGTTGAGACTTGCTAATAGAGTCATAAAAAAGTGAGTGTTAAATGACCAGAAATGGGCAGATGTCTTGTAAAAATGAATTATCTGTTATAAAATGATTGGAAAGAAATCCCTGTTAAATGTCAAACAAACGTTTTAATTCACATTATATAATCCATCTGACCACACCTACAATTCTCAATGTAAAGCACAAAGCACAATGTGCTGAGCAACTGCCCTCCCCAACCAGAGGCTTAAAAAAATGTGGTCTGAGCCTGTTTAAATCATCATATGAAGTAAAAAAAAAAAGACAAAAAATCAATTGTGACTTAAAAAGCATGGCTGCTTTCCTGGCGTATGATTTCATTTTGGAAGACAAGACAAAACACCCATTTTCTCCGGTGCTGGAGCTGTTGACTATATCCCAGAGAGTCTAGCTGATGGAAACACCCTGTTTAATATTAGAATATACATGAAGGGCAGGGAAATATGACCTCTCTAATTGATGGGGTCAATTGGTTTAATACAAACACTGCAGTAAAGAGACAGAGGGGAAGACTGAGTCAGCGAGGAAGTGACAGCGAGAAGTTTTCGGGAGATACTTGACAGAAATCTTGAGGCGAACTCAGTGTTCAAAAGTACATGACTATCGTGTAGCGGTAGAAGAGGTACTCAGATTCTATATTTCACTCATGAACATGTGGGCCAGTTTTCAAGGCAATCCATCCCAAATGTGAGCCTCATGGTGGCGCTAGAGGAAAAGTCAGGTGATCCCCAAAGTTTTCCTCTGCACACCATGAGTTTAACTCAGAACATGGTTGTTGAGATATTTCAGTCTGGACCAAGTGACCGACACTGCCGTCCCTAGAGCTACACTGCTAGCGATGCTAAAAACACACCGCCTGGCTCATGAGGCCTGTAATGAGTGCAGTACAACAGCTGTGTGCAACAGGGTGTGTGGGTGTGTGTGTGTGAGAGAGAGAGAGAGAGAGAGAGAGGGAGAATGTGACTCAACAGGCTGAGTGGCAGCACATCAGTGATGAGTCATCTGGTGTGAGGGGTGGTTATAGCAACGAGAGATGTGAACATTTTAGCATGACTGAGAAAAAAAACTGTTATTTGTTCGTACAGATTGATGGGTGGATGGATAGATACCAGGTGCCATATTTCTTTTATGTGAAAACTGTACATGGCAATAAATCAGATTCTCTTCCAAACACTAAATATGTTAAAATTTTCTCCCTTTCAGCCACATCAGCACCGAGGACGGCCACTAAGTTGGAGCGATAAGGCCTGGCTCGAAGTTCATCCCAAAAGGTGTGGTTGATTTCGGGGGGCCCAAGTTTGTCTTCATCAAACTGGGGAGAAGGCCTTTCTTCATGGACCTCGCTTTCTGCACAGGGGCGTCGTCAGTTCAAGCAGGAAAGGGAGAAACAAACTGCTGCCACAGCAGGAGCTGCAGGATGATTTACAGGAGAACAAAAAGAGACAAACCCTCGTTTTAGGGGCTCACAAACCAAAAAGGTTGGGAACCACTGCTATAAATTTTTTTGTGTGAAAAATGGGATACGCTAAACTCTTTAGCATCTAAAAATGCATCAAATTGAAGAGGAGAAATCACTCTTTAGTGAAACTACTCAGGTGAACATGTGACACAACTTCATTTGAAGGGGTCATGAGTTAAAATGGTTGGGAAGCACTAGTCTAAGGTACAGTACACAAAAGTAACATACTTTTGCCCATAGTGTTGATAGACAGACAACAATTCACCTTGTACAGTAATATATAATAATATATAGACATATACTGTCCATATAAACACATTATGAATTCCAGTTTAAACCACATTTTGCCGTGGGCAGCAGCATCAGCTGGTACTTCAGAGTCGTCTTTATCTGCCAGTTTTAAGAGACGTGACTTGGTGTCCGTGTGGGCGCAGAAAAGAAGTCTCCCTGACTGATTCAATGCCAACATAAAAAAAGAAAAATCTGGCATTCATGTGGAGGCAAGAGTTTCAGGTAACTCAATCTAAATATCAATGTCACCTAATGCAAATACAATCTGAGCCAGGGCGAGACAGTTAATGCAAATAAAGCGTATTTGCAACACACAGCCACTTTCACCCCCCCCACGCTTCACACTTGCATACAAAGTATTCCCTTCTGGTGTCCAGGCTATCGTCTGCATTTGTTTCACACCCTGAGTGGGAAGGAGACTTGTTTATCACATGCATATGACAGCCTCAAGGGTAGGTAGGATTAAACTTTTGGCTTTTACTTAAAGTGGCTGCAGCAAATTTCATTCAACCTCCTCTGGCTCAGATCGTCCCCTCAAGCTAAGAAGGGCAATCTGAGGCAAGCCAAGCGTTTTTACCCATATGCTGGTTCTGTGACGTAGCTTTTGTGGGTCTGTAAAGCCTGTTAAAATATTGTATGTGATACTGGACTGTACAAATAAACTTGATTTTACTTTTGTCACTGATTGAGTGTATATTTCTGCTTCTTCCTGGATCACTTCATGAACCTTTAAGCCTTGAAAACACATTGCATGTTTAAGATATTGCGAATTTATTTTAAGGTGCTCCGATTATCGATTTTCGATTTTATCTATATTTATAAAATGTGCATCCTACTGCTCACATAAGTGGTTAGATTTGTTGTACAGTATGTTATAAGCTGTGTGACTTATGATCGTCATCATTTTTTTTCAAAACTAACTGGCATCTAATCGGATCTTTTTCACTGTTTTTTTGGTCCAGGTATGTGGTAAAGGAAAAGCACAGTAGAAAATTGAGGGTAAAAGACAAAATGTCAGTAGAAATGTACACAGAGAACTGACAAAAATCAGCTAACATTCATTTAAATAACAGAGAAAATGTGATCAAAATATCTCTGAAGGCATACTGAGGCTACAGGAGGTATTGTTCATAATCAGTTTCGCAGGACATGATTCATATCTCAGGAACCTGATCAATAGTCCTGGCTCAGCAGTGAAATAGAGAAGTTTCCTGCCGGGGTTTTATTTCCAGCAACAGTCTTGCTTCATCTACTCCTGACTTTAGAGTTCTGTAAATGACGTGAAACTGATAAATAAATAATTAAATGTACCACTGTGAGGCAACAGTCATAATAAGTGCTAGGGATAAGGTCTGTGCCATCCATATTTAACTGAACCAAACTAATTAATTGAAAAATATATATAAGTTTTTAAAAATAAAAACAAAAGAAAAAAATGCCCAAAAAAAAGAAGAAATAATTAAGTGGTAAATTAACTCTCTGTGTGCAGAATGAGGACTCCACATAATAATTTATTTCAACATTACATATGTGAAGTGATTATTAGCCCCCTTCCTGTACAGTAAAACTACTGCAGTCATCAAAAGATGATTAGCACAATGCTAATGTGACCTAGCTAGCAGTAACTGTTACCGTAGGTCAGAATTAAGGTTTTGAAACGCCAAGAAAAAAATATGCAGATATGAGTGTATCGTTCTGAGGTCACGAAAGGTCAAATACGAGGCAATTATTCACAACATAAACTTCTAAATTACGGAAAAAAGTTCACCGTCAAGTCAAACATTTATCATGCTAATACAACCGCTAAAGTTAGTTTGCCGTTGTTAAATCCGGGGGTTTGACCGTAAATACCCTAATAAAACGGTGAATAAAAAGGTAGAATTAAGGCAGCTACATGATAAATTAAACGGAGATTTTAGACAAAGTGGGCATGTGAAGGTTTAGTGGAGTAACAATATTCAATGGGTAGAGAAGTAAAATCGAAAGAGGGAATGTCAATCATAGTGAACAGTATGACAAAAGAAGGGGGGGGGGGGGGGGGGGGGGGGAAGAAGAAAAAAAAAAAAGAAATAAGGCGGCTACATGATAAATTA